ACTCGTGGGTGCATTCCATCGGGGCCCATGGATTTGCGGGCATTCAGATCACTTAAGCGATCCCTCACGCAGTCCTCCTCGACCTGTTCTGTTTTCCCTGTTTGTAGTAGAGAACTGATACCACCCTGCCTCATTGGAGTGTTAGATTTCTAAATTCTCAGGCACTACCACAAAAAGCATCACGGAGCAGCCCACTTTAATAGTAACTATGTAATTCAGAGAGGGTTTCCATCCTGCGTGGGGTATGAGGTCAAAATGTCAACAGTAATGACAAAACAGGGTACAACACAAGTATCTACACATTCTACTGCCTTAGCCGTTCTGGGCACTGATCTCATGAAAAAAAAAAAATATACTGATCATGTAACAGGCAGCTTTCATTATTTACTGGAGGCCGAATTTGTATAGCCCAAGTAGCCTTAGTTCTGCCATCTTACATTTTTCCTGTGTTTTCCCAGCACTTGACAGGGTGTTTGTTTAGACAGCTTGTTTGAGACTTCAGGTCAACCTGAACCGATTTGCATTTTTAAATTCTTGTATTTTTGTTTGCATTTTGCATTCCAGAACATACTTGCAACAACAAGCGTCTGGACCTTGTCTTCATCATTGACAGCTCTCGCAGTGTACGTGCTTACGACTTTGAAAAAGTGAAGGAGTTCATTTTAACCATCTTGCAGTTTCTGGACATCAGTCCTGATGCCACCCGCGTAGGTCTGATTCAGTACGGCAGCACAGTCAAACACGAGTTTTCGCTGAAGACGTTCAGGAGGAAGCAGGATATCGAAAGAGCAGTGAAGAGGATGATGCACCTGGCAACTGGCACCATGACTGGGCTGGCTATTCAGTATGCAGTGAACATTGCATTTTCCGAGTCAGAAGGAGCTCGACCTCTGAAGCAGAATGTGCCTCGAATTATCATGATAGTGACAGATGGGAGGCCTCAGGATCCAGTGGCAGATATTGCCGCTAAAGCACGTAACTCCGGAATCCTGATTTTTGCCATTGGAGTAGGAAGAGTAGATATGAACACGCTGAAGTCCATTGGGAGTGAACCGCACGAAGAGCATGTGTTTCTGGTTGCTAATTTCAGTCAGATTGAAACACTGACCTCTGCCTTCCAGACTAAACTTTGCGGTAAGGTTTTCATCTATAGATTTGAATGCATAACTGAAAGTAAAACACAGAAAAAAAGTATGCATTATAAGTAAACTTGTTTTTTATGTGGAACCTTATCTGTTAGAATATATACATTAGAAAAAAGGGACTAGACAGACAACATTCAGAACAGCAGTCATACATATGGGGAAAACTAATTCTACTGTTAAGTGCCATAAAATATGATCTAATTCCTAGTGGTCGTAAGCAGTGAGGCAAACACACGTATCATGATTTTCCTATTCATTGCATAATAGCAATAAATTTACAGATCTTTGCTATTTGATTATTAGGTAAGTTGTTTCCTCTATTGAGTTTAAATGTGATCTCCTTTAGCACTGAAACTTCAAACTGATAATCGGTCTTTTGGTTATTTAAAAAATTCAACGGAGTTCATGGATTCCTCTTCCAAAGCTTACATATTAATTCTGTACAAACAATTATCTCTGCACATGACTTGTGACTGGAAGTGAGACATAGGACATGGTAGTGGTTTTATTCCATCCATTTTAAATACAGAATGTTAGGAAAAGCCATTATGTTTGTATTATTCATTCATACAATAAAGTAAATAATATTTTTATAGGTATTAATTTACAACAGAGAAATCACTTCCATCTGTAATTCCTTGATAAGACATGACCTTTTACGAGTATCGTGGCATACATAATTGATTTTATTCCAATCTGTGTACTTAATATAATTTTCTTTTTTAGTTTTTCCTGAGATAAATATGAAAGAACTTCATACAGAATTGGCATTAAGCTGAGGCATTTTCAGCAGAGTCCAGAAAAAGGATGCATGGTGAGACTGAATGCTCACTCATCTCTAGGGATGGTTTTGCCAGAAAAGAACTGAGGCTTATTGTCAGGATAGTCTGGAGAATTTTCCTTGCTTGGTCTTTTCCAAAATTGTTTCAAAGAGCAACAAGGCTCCAGCTGAACTGTATCAGCACAAAACACCATCACAAACACTCATCAGATAATAGATTTTTTCCTGTTTCTTCCTAGCTGTATTATTAGCTGGCATAGTAAGATACATTTAAAAACCAAGGAAGGGTAAACTAAACATGGACTGAGAGTTTAAATGGAGTGAACAGCAAATGCTTCAAAACTTTATCTTACTGGATTTTTTAAATTGCATTTTAGAATAGTTTTCTAAACACTAAATACTTGGTTTTTTCTGATTAGGCAGTGTCCAGTAAATGTATAAGAGTTTTATGTCTCACTTTTAATCCAAATACATGTGATCCTCAATAAAACCACCCCCCAGCAGATGGAGGAGTATGGAGGTGACAAGGAATGCTGCTGCCTCCTTGCCTCAGGGAATGCCGCCACAACATTTGCTGTGTCAGGAATTGAAGGTGGTGAGATCCAAAAACACACTTGAAAACCCAGGCCCAGATGCAACAGAGAATTTAATGTGCTAGATTCTTATGGATTTCAACTGAAGGGACTAAATTGCAGATAGGATCCTTAATACTTTATTGAGTCTGGGCTGTGAAGCAGCGTTCAGCTTGCTGAATTTTGAGAGCAATCTAAGCATGCATAGCCTCTGTTTCCTGGAGCACCTACATTTGTCCCAGGAAATGTGGTTAGTTTTTTAAAGTCCTCCCCAGTGTGGACCCAGAGGCAATCTCATTGTAGCTGAGTGAAACATTTGGACACCTTTTTTCTTTGCTAGAGCAGCTGAAGGCACCCCTGTAGTCAAGTCTCCTGGCATGCATTCTGCTGGGCTTCAGTCTGTGGGAAAAGACCTTGGCACCTGTGCTGTCCTTGTGTCTGTGGGAATGTGTGTTCATGGTTCCTGTCAAGACAGGAGAAGAACCTGGCCAAGTGATGAAGCTCTGTGGCGAAAATCAAAAGTAAACCAAATGAACCACTGTTTACCAATGGATGGCAGAGATTACTCAGTACCTAGCAGCTATATTCTTGGAAGAATCTTTATAAACTGGAACAGTTGCTGCCTCTGGCTGCTAAAGATTTGGGGGTGTCAGAAACAGCAGATGAAGCCAGGGGATTCTAGAGGCCTCTTTTTATTACCAGTCAGCAAGAAGCAAACAGTATCCTGGGAAATCAGAGGCATGAGGAGTGAGAGAAGAGTTGAAAACACAGAAGAGAAACAGAAATGGGGACAGAATCCAGGAAAGGAGGTGGAGATTGACTAGAAAGAGAGCGAGAAAGACAGAAGTTGGGATGGAGTGGTCAGGAGCAAGCAGAGTCTTTATTATGCTCCTGTGAAGTAGATAGTAATGTCGTCCCCATTTCACATGGGAGGAATGGAGGCACAGAAACAGAGTTAAGACTGTGAAGATTGCCCTCTATAAACATTTGACTCAGTGCAATTCCTGGTCTGTTTTTCTGGGGCGTTTAGCATCTTTAGGCTAATATAACATACCGGTCACAGCTCTACAGCCTTCACTTGCAGCTGAGAGAGCCCTGCATTCTTGCAAATCCATATTCAGGTGTCTCCAGCTGAACACGTACAGGGGGAAGGTTGGTGCTTGCTTGAAGTTACAAATGTTTGGCTTGCCCAAAATGATATCAGGACCCTATGACATAGACAGAGATAAAATCTAATTCACAAGGCTGACATTCAAATTCCTTAACTGTGAGATCACCCTTTCTATTACTTCAGTCCCTGGCTGTGTCCACCAAACACCTCCTGCAACAAATGAGGTTGCAGAAATCATACAGACAGCAGCCTCCTTAACCACAGAAATCTGACAGATGACCAGGGTACCACTGATTCTTTGAAATGGGTGCAACAGAGACACCTTGGAAAAATTTTGATGTAATAGTATATTGGAAGATTGATAACAGATGGTAACAATGTATTCTCAGAGGGACCGAGTTATTGGGACGCCTATCATTGAATGTTCTTTTTTTTTTTTTCATTTTTTAGTACTCTGTTTTGCAGCCTTATGCTCTTTTGATATGGAAGGACTGACTGTGTTTGTAGTAATGTTCTATAGATTCACATTCTATAGCATTAGTGCATGGTAAAATTTTCTGATGCTTAAACTACTGAAATTAGTATATTTTTCATCTATCATATTTAAAAGTGCTTCTTTGGTCATAGCAAGCTATACCTGATGTTGAAAGCTGGTGAAATATAGCCAGGAGGAGACTTCTGTTGAGAAAGTATCAGAGGCCATGCACTTCATTTTCAGAATGACAGGATGATGAAAAGACAAGAAGTCCAAGCAGATCTGTATTCACATAAATAAAAGTACTTGAGAAGTTCTATTATGGCAAAAAATTGTGACATCTGAAAAGCTGATTAAGAGATTTGGGAATTGTGGTGGTCTGTAAATTAGTAATAAATACATAACTCTCGTAACCATTCCAAAGACCAGACACATAGTATGTATCTCAAAACCACATTTTTTTTTCCACAAGTACCACACATACCACATATTAAGTTATTTATCAGGCTTCTGTTGTGGCTGATGGAAGATTACTGTTAATAGCTATTACATAAATTTTGAGCTTTGTTGACGTAGCACAATAAGGAGCCCATCAATCCCTAACTGTTGTTGAGCAGAATAGATTATTTTCCACACAATGTTCTCTGAGAAGTAATTCACCTATATGTTATAGAAATTACATACAAGCAATGCTCCAGTGGAAAGAAAATATGATAGAGATTTCTTAATTCCCAAATACTGATCATACATAGTTCAGCAATGAATTTGACAGAATGGGCCCACTATTCTTTTTCTTTCTTACTGTCTCAGTCTGTTGCATTTTACTACTTGCTATTAGAGACGCTTAATACAAACAGATTAAAAATAGACTTGGAAAAACTTATACTGTGGAGTGTAGCTCAGCTCCGTTCCCACTTACTGAATCGTGGAGATGCATGACCTCAGTGTCCTCATGTATTGCTGGTATGTTCCTCAACATTAATAACTAAGCAAGCAAGGTTCTTCATCAAGTTGTTTTCTAGTCATTCTTCTTTAGTATTGTGCTGTGTGGTGATTTTCTTCATTCAAGAAACTGAATGTCCTCTAGAACAGTTTGTACTTAAATTCCACATATTTTCTGAATTTGAATGTGGTAGGTTTGTTTCATTGTCTTCTTGGGACCACCGAGTAATTAGTGTTTCCAGGTACTCTATTGTATGTTTTTATTCTGTTTATATCTCCATTCCACATATAATTTGATGTCCAAAAACATGCCACCAATGTTAACCAGACAAAAAATACATAAATTCCTACTTTTTTTAGGAATAAATACATAGTACTGTTTGTTAAGGGTTTTTTTTACAGTGTTATAGTCTTAAGCTTCCCTTTTTGTCTTTACTGTCAACGCTTAATTTGAAATTTTTAAATTACTTCAGTAAAATTTTCTATAACAATTTTTTTCAGTTGTGACCGCAAGTAAGTAAGACCAGCAGTTAAAAACATTTTACTTTTTTTCTTTCAGTGCCCCATATGTGCAGTACAGTTGAGCATCGCTGTGATCACTTCTGCATAAACACCCCTGGCTCCTATGTATGCAGATGTAAACCAGGATACATTCTGAATGCTGATGAGAAGACTTGCAGCAGTATGTTATCTTTCTTAACCTTTCTCTTTCATGCTCCCAAAAAGTGCTTGACATTTCATACTCTTTTCGCTCGGCTCATGTAGAAGGACTGAGCTCAGTATATAATTTATGGTAATCATCAGAAAGAGTCTTAAAACTGAAGTTGTTTTTCTTTTTCTTGTTTTCTGTAAATGGAGTTCTTATAAACCTTTCTGAAATACATCATGCTAATTTTTATACACAGCTCTGCAGAGGTACACTGTAATTACTTAAAATTTTATTTGAATTTTATTAGTGTAAAAAGTTTGACAATGGAGCAACAATCAAAGAATGAAGTGTTTTATCAATTCACATGAAGTAAATCCAACTACTTTAGTAACTAGTCTAGATAGTAGCCAGCACTAAATCGTACAGAAAGGTGCAGTAAACCCCGTACTAGAGAACTGTGAAATAACTTGCCATTCTGAAATGTTCTTCCTAACTGCTGGTTGAAGTACAAGAGCTTACAACCATTCAAAGAATAGTTTCAGAAATCTTGCTTATGCTCTCATTTCCTTCATTAAAAGGGTTGACTTTTTCCATTTTAAGTAATTGGCTTTATAGTTTACAGTAACAAACTGTATTTCACCTTAATTGTGATCTTTATAAGCAGTATTTCTTTTGTCCATTTTAACTTGCTTCCTTGTAATTAAAAGCATTTTTAATCTCTTGTGGAAAATGTACTTGCTAAAAATGCAGTTTCTTATCCCACAAAGTGCATAGATTCAAGTGAAAATTGCCAAACTGATTTTAGCCAGAAGGAAAATTTTGGAAAACGTCTTTTCAAAAAGCTGGAGGAGACAGTCATGGTGAGAGCATAGGATGTACCCCTCACAACTGATGATTTAGAACTAAGGTGAAGGATGCAGGCTCAGATCCTATCCTTGTGTTTGAACTCATATGTTCCACGTACCAGGAGAGTGCCGTAAAACAGTTAGGTAGCTTGAGATTAGAGGGTTCTCAGTCTCTCTTGCTTAGGGTTGCATTTTATATCAAATACTTAAGGATCACTGAAACAGTGAGAGTATGCCAGTATCTGAGGCGACTCTGCAGCTTGGGGATTAGAGTCCTTATTTGTGCAGTGGGACACATGGTTTCAGTCAAAGCCTCAATAAACAGGAATGAGAACAAAAGAATGTCGGCACTGGCATGATGTGGGCATTCTTGCTGCTGCATGGAAGTGTCTTCAGAACCTTTGGGCTACAGCAGGAGACTGCTTTTAAACTGCTCAATTTGTACGCTGTTGAGCTATAGGATGAGTTAATTTCGGAATCTCTGTTTTCTAGTACTTCTCACCAGCATCCTTCACTATTTGTCATATGCATGTGTGTGAATTATAGGAGAATGTTTTGTGTTAAATGGAACAAATTTAACACTTTATTTGGTTTTTGGTTTCCTCAAGAAGACGCAAAAAAATTCAATCCAATCTGGAATATTTCCTAATTATTATTTGGTTTAGCAGCTAAGACAAGACAAGAATAGTGACAAGAACAATTTTTCACACAGCATATTTTCTCTGCTTCCTCATATTTGCTATAGCTCTTCAGAAAGAGGGTGGTCAGAATCCCATGCGATGGCTCCAACTATGTAGTCACATTTCAGTAATACTCTCTAGCCTATTCTGTTCATTGTGGCCCTCTTAAAATGCTTCTAATTTAAAACTTTTTTACCATTTAAACCTTTCTTTCAAACCCTCCTCATGCTATTAAAATTCTTAACAAATTTTTAAGAAAGAATTATTTTGCTTTCAAGTTTCCAGGAATTATTTGAAATTCAAAATTTCTCTCTTTTCTAGTTTTCTGTCACACATTTTCCCCATCCTCAACACAAATATCAATTTTGACAATACGATTTTATTTTTGTGAGTCAATTAAAAAAATTTAATTACACGTCTGAAGAATTCTTTCTTTATTGTATCTTCTTCTTTTTTATTGTGTTACATTTCCGTAGTTTTTATCAGCCAGTAATTCAGTTTTTGGGCACTGCACTGCTTCAAATTACAGATTAATTTCCAAGAGAGTTTTGGAATTGGTGATCCATGCACAGTCACCCTCAAAATGTTCCTGCTCATTTTTCGAAGCCCGTTGCTGCAGCGCTTCACTTTTTTTTTTAGCTATGACTCGGTCTTACATTACTTTTCCCCACTTACCTGTCACACATGATTTGCTTGACTGTGTACTTGCTTTGGTCATCAGTCAGATGATACTGGATTGCAGTTTGCTAAATATGAAATGGAAATGAGTCAATGTGTTTGTAGCCTGCTTCTAAAGGACTTCTTTTTACATCATCAAACCATAAGCTAATTTTAGCAATTAGCACTGAAAATCTAATATTAAGAGCCATCAAACTGGCCTTAAATGTGCGAAGATGGTGGAAATCATTGGTGAAGGAGGGAGATGATACAGTAGCAGTCTAGACAAGGCCAGACCATTATGTCTAAAAACTTCCCAGAGCAGTAACAGAATTCATGAGGAAAGGGGACCAAGCCTGGGCAAAATGAACAGCTGATTTCTGGAGTTAAGGGGGAGCGTGGCGATAGAACAACCCACAGTCTGACCAGATAATAGCTATTCTTTACTCATTGCACTGTATTTGTTTGTTTAACTTAATCTCTTCCATTCTTCTCTAGAGATGTTCAGATCTTACAGTAATACACAAAATAGTACAAAAGAGGAAATGTAGCTGAAGCAAGCTGGAAAATTATCTGGGTTTGGATGTTTATACTGGAACAAGAGAGTTAAACGACTGTTTATGCTGCTCATCATGCCGCTTGATATGAAACAGACAACTATAAAAGAAAATTTGTATTTGTTTGGCTAGTTTCCTCAACCATGTTCCAAAAGCCTTTTTTGTAGCAGTAAATGATCATTATGTGTTGAGCAGTCTTTGGGCCTGATCCTGAGCAACACAAGGTAGTCTGCTTCCAGAGATTTGACTGCAGAAACTTGGGGATCTCAGAAGGCTTTAGTGTATTGAAAAGAAAGCCCAATGTGCTGCATTCAGCCAGGTGCTGAACTGACCTCATTTGTCGTAGTAGTTTTTCTAATAAGATCTTTTGCTTGGGAGGGGTAACTTGCTATGATATTTTGCACAAAACTGAAAAATTATAAAACTCAGAAATTAAATATCCCCAAGTCTTTTGGTGTTGTGTTTTCCTTTTCTTTCCCTTTCCAACCTTGTCATCATTTATCTGGGAGGGCTGTGCAAAAAAAAAAAAGACAGAAATAAACACAAGTTTTTTTCCCAAAAAACTGAAGAATGCCCTTCAAACTTTCGAGAGAAACATACAGGCAAGCAACTCTACCAGGCACCACTGGCCCGTCAACAGTCACTGTCTTCAGCTGAAGGAATGAGCTCCTCAGCTTTGAGTGATTGTTCCTGCTGGCATAAGGCTTTCACTGTTCGACAGAACATTGTCATGATCTGTGTTAAAATGAGCTCATTTCTAAAGAGCTGTTCATAGCTTCCTGAAATTTATTTTTTATCTATAGTCTACCTGTGCGTCAGAAGGTCAACAAATTTCATATTCGTGCAATTGTGTTTTGTAGCTCAGGACCTTTGTGCTGTGGAGAAACATGCCTGTGAGCAGATTTGTGTGAACACACCTGGGTCTTACGTCTGTCAGTGTTATGAAGGGTATGAGCTTGATGCAAATGGAAAGAATTGCATTGGTGAGTATAAGTTTAGCAATTCACATTTATCTCTTGACACAAACCAAAGGGAAATTCAATGTATATTACTATCCAGTTTAGCTGTAGACAATGATGGGAAGCTCTCTTCTCCTATATGAGTGGCAGATAAGGAAGAATACATACTGGCTTGTTTGTAGACATTTATTGATAATGAATGGTGACTTGGGAACATTATTCCAACTAATTTCACACAGAAAATAAGATTGCTGTTTTGAAACAACACACCATCTATTTTATTCTAGATCCATGTAGGTGGCCAACAATGTACTGCCATGATATATGTGGCCATTAAAAAACAAACAAAGCCAGACAAACTCATTAGCTCCTCTTCAGACAGACGTTATACATGGAAAAACTTGAAAGTGGACAATTTCTTGCCATTTCTCACTTGGTTTTATGGTCATGCCAGGAGAGCTTTCAGACTCTTTTTGGAAAGATGACTTTAAGGAAAGTTTAGGCCCCCCTGAAGAACCTATCCACTGTGTGCCTTTAATTTTCACTATGGGCAGTAAAGAAGCAAACATCAGCTCTAAGAATTACAACTCAAAAGAGTGAGTGTGGAAATACAGTATAATAACTTTTTAACAAAAAACATACTTCCCTCTCTATTACCATGTGAGTATCTCGCTCTTCTTCCTCAATTATACACAGTAATTACTTTTAGGATGATCTTTTTCACTGGCATGTTAGCCTTCTCATAAACTTTTTATCCCATGTTACATTTTGGGAAAATACTGTCTTCTGGTATCCACCACAAAAACCCCCTAGTGAGTCCTTAAAAAAAAATTGCTGCACTTGTTAGGTATTCTCTTCAGGTGAGGACTTAAATGCCTGCTTAATTTCAAACACATGCTGAAAGCTCATGCAAGTGAATCCAAGTGAATCCTTAGCCCCAAATCTGCTACAGGTCACCACAGTACTTTTGTCCAACAGCTTTCTCTTTCTTGTCATTTTAAAGAACTCTAACATAATATAATCTATCTCTTATTACCTTCAATTACCTCACCTAAGGTGCAAAATAGATGACAGTTTATGGAACTGAACTTTCTGCATGTAGTTTCACATGGGATGCACAAATGAGGTTTTGAGGTTTTTTTAGACCTAGGATAACATAGGCAGTTTTGAAGAACATTGACTCTGTACTTACTCTTCAGAAATGTTTCCCTGACTTACAGCTTCATGGTCTCAGTATAGGAGTGTTTAAACTTCTCAGCGTAATTTATCCTGAGCATAATTTGGCCACTAACACACCATTTTAAGAATCTGCTTTTTGAAGATGAATTGTTTTGAAAATGCAGCTAATAATGGCTATTTAGGCAAGAAGGTCTTTTAGATGTTCTGACCCAAATTTCTACATCTAACACTCCACAGAAGTTCATCCAATAATCTTAGCTAATCCTCATGACCTTTACCTGTATTAGGATAAAGTATATATTTCTCTGCTATTGGTTTGACTATATCCTGAGACTGAAAATCTGTTACTTCTGTTGGTAGTTTCTTTCATCCTCAGTTCTTTCCTACCATATACTGTAATCTGAAATATTCATGCTTAGTATCATCAGCTGTTGTTAATATTTTCTCTCTGTTAAGTTGAAGGGTCCTTTACAGTCTGAGGTGGTTACTGGGAAGGTAACTACCATTGCATCATAGGGATAAAAAGAAATTTTGGTAAAATTCTTTGCACATCAAACCTAATATTATCCTTTATAATAATTATGAAGTCTATTTTTCTTATTAAAAGCTTAAGAATTTTTCTATGCCATTTGTTGAATTTCTTACAGTGGCACTTGTTTTTGCCAGTTAATTTTTCTGCGAAGTCTGAAGAGTGCTATTTGGAGGTATGATACATCTTTAACATCTTTTTTCTACCTCCTTGCTGACCCTCTTCAGCACGGAGAGGTACGCCCCTATTACAAGCTCTATTGATGACATTTGAAGCTTTCATATTCTCAATTATTTTCAGTTATTTTCAAAATACAGTTCGTGCATGAGTTCACTATAGTATCTTACATTTTGTAGCTGTCTTTCCTCTCCAGTTCTTTTCTATTCATTTATAGCTAGTTTAGCAAAAAATCATGAACTCATGCTTTTCATACCCCTTCAATAATTAGGAGTATTGATTATGATTTTCAAGCACATTATTAGCACTTCTATTTTTCAATTTTCTTTTTCATTTATTTGATCATTTAACTTTTTCATTTCTTACTGATCCATGTGAGTGCTTCAATGTGTATTAATTTTGTTTTACCAATGCAGAAATTAGCCTCTCTACATTTACTGAACAGGGAAAGATTGTCTGGTTAATTTGTGTTTTTGATGCTAATTTGTCGCAAACACTATTAGCTGTCAGTCTCCAGAATCTGACTTTTCAGTTTTGAACAGTTTTAGATTTTTGAGGAGTATGCAACTACCAAGAATGTGCAGCTTCTGCAGATGTGATCACCAATGAATAATCGTCCTTGCTGGAAAATATTGCAAAGGAGACTGTGCATAGTACTGAATCAGTAGTGATAACTCTTTGTTCTCACTACTCATACACTAGTTAACCATTCCTTTCTGTGAAGTATTTATTGTGAAATGAGCAGGATCAGAAGGAAGATCTTGGATGTACGCATATAGCAGAGACCACTGAGTACAACAACAGTTTTGCAAAAAGCAGTGACTTCATTAAGGTTACTCTCTGCTCTTCACCCAGAGAAGTTCAGCAGCACATACACATCGCAGTTCTCTCAAAGAGCCAAAGGTTATCTAAGACTTCTAAAATTTTAACTCCAGCAAAAATAAATGAGAAAGTGCAGAAAACTCATTGCACAGGCAGGTTTTTAAATTCTTTTTCTCCTTTCTGATGGGCTAATTTATCTGGCTACAGATCAAAGGCAGTACTAATTGCTTAATTGATACATGTGTCAGCCAGTTACCTGAATGGCAGTAATTAAATAAAATCTCAGAACCAACAGCTCACAATGTATCCAGTCAAAGTGACCACTGAATGGCCAACCACTGTGAGTGTTTGCAACACAGTTTATGAACAAATTTGTAGACTAAACAATGCTTGAAACTCTCTGCTTAGCTATAAGTATAGCTGGCAGGCTACTAGCACTTGGCCTTTTTAAAGAGATTTTAATGTTAACTGTCTTCCTCTCACATGAATGAAATCCTGTCAGTTAAAGTTTGTTAATAATAAGCCATTCTTTCTCCATCATGCTGCTGGACACTCAGTCTCTCCACCTTCTTGGTGTTGCTGGACATGCTGCCATCTCTTTCCTGGCGCTGGACTGTCTCTGTATTGCTGCAGCTGTTGGGCTTGGGACCTCTTCTCCTGGCAGTGGTTTAGCTGCTGGCACCTCTCTGCAGTCCTGGCAGTGCTAATTTTTTTTGGCTGCTTTCTAGGTTCTTACAAATCTTCCAGGAGTCTGCTCTACTCTTGCCCCATGTTGTTTTTCATACTCCTTATGATTTTACTTATTCTGTCACCTTTTCTTCCTACCCATTTCTTCTGCCTCTCTGCTTAACTTACTTTGTTCCTCTAAGCCTGAATAACCTACACAAACATCATATGAGTAAAACAGCAGTACAAGAGAAAGGTGATCAATGCTGTCCACAGTTCAGAGGGGGCAATGTAGGTACCCAGAGTGCAGAACTGCTAACTAGAAATAAAAGGTGTCTCTCATCACTTGACAACTAATTTCAAGCAAGGAAAACAGGATGGAACAAACATGGGGAGATGACAACTGAATTAATTGCTTGCTCACTAAAAAGGTCATTAATTCATCCTTTTGAAAAGTTTCTTATTGAAATAGGCATGCGCTAACATTAAAAACAGTGAGATCTCTTTCGTGTTCACGTTCTACTGTGTATCTCATGACTCAGTACAGAAAGATGAAAATAATAAAACTTTAAAGAATTAGGAAAATATTAATCTGCTTTGCTCTTTTACAAGCTGTGTATATTTTCTGCATGCCAACTAAAGGATTGCAGTAATTCAATATAAGAAGTACAGATTTATAATTTTTCTCAGTCTTTTCCGGAAGATTTAACTCTACGGACAACTTACCTACTTGCTGACTGGAATGCTGTTGACAAGTTTCCCTTCTAAGCAAGTACCACAAAATGAAACATGAAGCTAAAAGTGAAATCAATTTGTGGGTCAATTACTGGTGCCAGTCTTCAAGACTAAGCTTGCCTGGAATTAGGGCAATTTCTATACAAACATTACTGAAAAAGGGGAATAAGACTTATCTCAAAAAGCAACTGTCAAGGGAATGTTCTCACTTCTGAACTGTGTTAGTGGAAAGGCATTATTTAAATTGAAAAGCTCATTATTCTTACAGGCCAACAGACCTACTTCTGTGAGTAAGAGGTGCCCAGAAGGCTGTAAATGGAAAAAGGCAAGCCTGGAAAAATTAGCTATTTATTTCGTTGGGTTTTTTTCCTTTCTGTCCACAGTACATTAGCAGCTGCATGGCCATAAGAAGGTACAGTTCTTCCATCAAGAGACTGTCATCTGAAAGTGCTTAGGGCTGTAGTTGCTCAGATGTTGATAATAAAGCATTCTAAGACCTGTTTAGTTATCTCTCAAACAACAAAGCTGGTGAAAGGGTTGGAAGGAATGTCCTCTGAGGAGCAGCTAAGGACTTTGGGTTTGCCTAGTTTGGAGAAAAGGAGGCTGAGGGGTGACCTCATTGCTCCCTACAGCTTCCTGAGGAGGGGACGTGGAGAGGGAGGTGCTGATCTCTTCTCCCTGGTATCCAGTGACAAGGCGCATTGGAACGGTTCAAAGCTGTGCCATGGGAGGTTCAGACTGGACGTTAGGAAGCATTTCTTTACCAAGAGGGTGGTCAAACCCTGGAACAGGCTTGCTAGAGAGGTGGCCGATGCCCCAAGCCTGTCAGTGTTGAAGGGGCATTTTGGACAATGCACTCAACAACATCCTTTAACTTTTGGTCAGACCTGAAGTGGTCAGGCAGTTGGACTAGATGATCGTTGTAGGTCCCTTCCAACTGGAACAATTCTCTTTCTTCTCTTCTCTTTCTCTTCTCTTTCTCTTCTCTTTCTCTTCTCTTTCTCTTCTCTTTCTCTTCTCTTTCTCTTCTCTTTCTCTTCTCTTTCTCTTCTCTTTCTCTTCTCTTTCTCTTCTCTTTCTCTTCTCTTTCTCTTCTCTTTCTCTTCTCTTTCTCTTCTCTTTCTCTTCTCTTTCTCTTCTCTTTCTCTTCTCTTTCTCTTCTCTTTCTCTTCTCTTTCTCTTCTCTTTCTCTTCTCTTTCTCTTCTCTTTCTCTTATTATTAGTCGGGCAGTTGCAGGTATTGTGATAGAAATGTGTTTTGTTAGGGTTGAAAGGCAGAGGAGGAGGTGACTTTATGGAGCAATCCATATGGGCTGTTTCCCAGGTATGATGTTAGATAGAAAAATTTATGTATTCTTTGGCCTACTTATTTCTTAATGTGCCTTAAAACACTTGAAAATGTGCATGTGGTTAGAATTAATTGAAGAGGAAAGCTGGCTAATTGTATGACACATTATATCCTTGAAATGTATATTCAGTAAATATGTTTTTATATGAAGCTACTCTGTCTGGAAACAGGAACACGCTTGCCAGGAAAATGGTCTCACATAGTAGCCAGTAAGTAGGCTAATTTGACTTGATTCAACACAAATATTCTGAAGAATTAAAAGAAGCTCTTTCAAAGTAAATGGGTTATCTGCTTTCCTGACTAGGTGACCTGGACTAAATATCTTAGCACACCTAAGTATAAGCATGATTTGCAAAGGCAGGGCTATTGAAGAAGGAACTGATTTCATGAAATCAAATTACCGCCTCTTAAAGCAATTTGGGAGGCTCAGCAGTATAAAGTAATGAAAAAATTACTCAGCTGGCAAAGAAGGGGAAGTTGTCTCATTAAATGTCTGTGTGAAGCTGAGCACGTTACTGTCTTCTGCAGAATCAGGTAGACTTGCCTAATGTGGGCCTGGCAGCTCTCTTGTGACAAAACACCTGCTTTGTGATTTATCTTTAATTTCTTCTAAGACTTTCTTGGTGAAGAAACAGCTTAACCTGCAAAGAAATTAAAAATCAAAATCATTTAACTTCTGTAGCACTTTGGAATGAGCTTGACTGAGTAAACTCTAAAGTATTACCTTATTACCCTTTGACAATCTATCTTGTAAATATGGGTTTGTGTAATAAATGGCCTGACTTACGAAATAAGTGGCTGGACTAGCTATGATATTTTATTTCTCTCATGCAGAAGGCATTATATAAGCAAAATATCAGTGGTGAGTGTCAGCCTGAAGCTCTCACGCTTCATAGCTGCAGCTGCTTTGTACAGGATGAATTTGGAGTGCATTAGAGGGAATGAATGTACTGTGACAGTCCTCAGTGTAGAAGGTATTGCCATAGGTCTCCTATCAGGCTCAGGGAACAGCTCTTGAGAACTAATACAGCTGGGAGGGAACTGAGGAAAAGTAGAGCAATTCCAGGACTGGGACTGGAGAGACGGAAGACAGAACTAAATCAAACAAACTTTGCTACGCCCTGGTCTACAGTGTGAACATCTGGACAGAGTTACTGACTGAGGCATGGTTTCCAGATCTGAGAAAACATGTTGAGAAGGCTCCTGACAGTCCGAGAGTTGATAAATGTTCAAAGGGTAGGAGAAATGATCCAGGACTCATATCCAATCTGATTTACCAGCTGGTATTCAAAGTGCACTACTTTTTGCAGAAAGGCTCTTCAGGACAAAAATTATGTCAGCTTTTCCTTTTTTTATAGCTACTGTGTGTAACTAGTACCATTATATCTATGCATAATAGTTCTAATTTTGTTTTTCTAATTGTACATGTTGGTCTTGTTCTTTTTCAGTTGTAGACTACTGTGCTGTGGACAACCAAGGTTGCCAACATGAATGTGTTAACACTGAGGACTCCTATTACTGTAAATGCCACCCAGGGTTCATTTTAAATCCAGACAAAAGAACTTGCAGAAGTAAGTTGTGGTAAGGTTTAATTATGAACAATTTGTACTTCTTGTGTCTTCCAGTTCTCAGCAGTAATACTCCCACTGGTCCTGGGAACACTGAATAATGCATCAGGTATAGAAAATATTGGAGTGCCCTAGAAGCCAAAGTCTTGAAAGCAGTGCAGGTTTTTTTGGGGGAGGGGGCTAAGGGTACAGGTCCCACCTATGAACAGGAAGCTTTTAACATGAAACCAGACTGCTTTTCAACAGTAAAAGACCAAAGCTTTGTCTTGCATAGTGTCTTTGATTATCCAGATTTTTCAGTTAGAATATCATTTCCTTAGCTGGGTAAACAAACAAGTCTGTGCAAGACAATTTATAATCAGCTTGGTTTGTAAGACAAGATAAAATTAAATAGAGTAGTTCCACAATCAGAGGAAACTATTTTTCTATGGATTTTTCTCAAGAGTGAGTTCTTTGATACTGTGCCGAAGTTCTGGCAACATCAGTATCTTCTACCAAGCTTCCATGTTTCCACCAGGTTACAATAACTTCATGGCTTTGCTTGTTTGTTGTTTGTCAAATTTGATTGATAACAGGCTAATAAGCTCAAAAATTACCAGGGTTAGGAGTGGATATAAAACGGAGGGGAACTGACAGACCAGACAGTACTCTTTCCAAGGCTTCCCATAATTGGGAAAACAAGCTAAAACCTCCACAGTGTGTAATGTCGTAACTTGCTTTCAGGGAATGTGAAAAGAAAACCTTAATGTACCTTCCAGTTCCCCTTCTTCATAAACATGGGCCTTGATAGAGAAATGTTACTATTGTGTCTGTAAGCAGACAAACACCATTAGTTTTAGGTGAGTGGAATTGCTGATGCCAGTGGTGAATTCAGCCCATATTATTGAATAATGTGTTCAAACATTATTTCAGTGCTTTTTACAGCCTTGGGGGCATTTCAGTCTTTATGATGAGAGACTATGTTAACCTGTAGACTGTATTGTGTATTATGCTTGGTATCCGTTTCACTTAAATTTAACATTTCGAAAGAAAGCAAATAATCAATTGCTCACAGCTCTGACAAAAATTTATGGAAGTGCCTGTATTTTCCTTGACTATGCAGGGAGCCTGGATGACTTGCCAGACCAGACACCTAGGTTTTAGATGGTCAGAGTCAGACGAGATGAATTTCCTGCCTCCCCAAGGGCCAGAGTACAGTTTGTACTGGTTCACATTGCTTGTAGATTGTATGAACTCCCTCATTTGTCAAGTATCTGTCAGCTGAGGGCTAGCTCAATTCTCTTATACTTCCACATAAACTTCCACATCCATATATTTCTGAAATCTTACTATAGTGTAAGTGCTTTCTGCTGCCCAAGCACATTTTTTTGTTAGTTCCTTGAAGTTAAGAATGTGGATTTTAAGCAGTGTTTTCTCCTCTGGTTTGAACTGAACAAAGACCTTAAAACGGCATAAATGTTTTATATGTCTGGAGTAGTTTTTAGCTTATGGTCTAACTGTATGAGTTATTTTAACCTGTTTGAATTGATGATCCACAGAATTCTGGAAGCTGAGAGAGTGTTATGGGAAAGCAGTATTTCAGGCTTGTCCTGTTTGTATCCTCTGATTTAGGTATCTATTGCTTGAGATGGCACATTGGGCTGTGTAGACTGTCAGTGTGACCATGTGCTGCTGTTTTTATGTTGGAAACATGAAAGATTTCAAATGCTGGTTGGACGAGATCTCTGAAAGACATCTACTTTAACTTCCTCTTCAAAGCGGAACTGCCACAAACTGTGGATCGAGTCAGCTGTGGTTTTGTCTAGCTAAGTCTCAGAAACCTCCTGTGGAGAGTCCACAACCTCTTTGACCAACCTATTCCACTGCTGCACTATTCCTCTAGTGCGAAACATTTTCCTCATGTCAACGTGAATCACCCAAGCCACAGCTGGTGACCATTCTTCCGTGTTACATCGTCTGGCACTACTAAAAAGGGTTTAGCTCCATCACCTTTATGATGACCTACAAGAAGTAATTGTAGGCTGCAGTTAGATACCTTCCATTTCACCAAACTCAGTAAGACCAGATTCCTCCAGGTCTCTGCACAAGTCCTAGCAGTAGCTCTCTGTTGACCCTTCTTCAGTTTATTCCCTTTTATAAAGGGGGGAGAAGGGAATGGAAGGGAAGGGGTAGTTCCAGAAGTGGTTTCCTGGCTTGAGCTCAGACCTGCCTCAGCAGCGTATACTTGTCTGATGATCTGCAACTTCTGTTTAAACCTGGCTACCATTTGCCTTGCTTGGGTACTGCAGGGCAGCGCCTGTGTGGTAAGGCCCCTGCCCTGCTCAGCTGTATTATCGCCCTTGGCTCCCGGCTCTCCTTCCCTTAGGGAGCAGCTGGCCGATGCTGCTCCCTGGCAGCAGGTCACTTCCCAATCTGTACAAACAGTGGGGTGTTTCCAACCCAGGTGCAGAACTTTGCCATTCTTCTCGCTGAATTTCAAAAGACATCTTCTGCTCCCTTGTCCACAGATGCTGTCATTTTATCATTGAAGGTGAACGAGTTGGTCAGGCATGGTTTGCCTGTGGTAAATCCATGTTGACTTTTCCCAATAATCTTCTTGTCCTTCATACATTTGGAAATTGATTCTGAGAGGATGTGCCCCATGATCGTGGGACTGAAACGATGCGGATTGGTCTGTAGTTCCCTGGGTCTTTCTTCTTGCCTTTTTATAAAGATGAGGCTAACATTAGCATTTTTCAGTTATCAGGGAACTGTCTTGGTCCCTGTGAATTTTCATACATGACAGTGGTGTCACATCCTCTAGTTCTTTCAGCACCCACAGGCAAATACCAGTCATCCCATGCATCTGTGTATATCCAGTTTCTCCAAGTAGTCTCTAACCAATGTTGCTAGCCCCTCTACTTCCCAAACTGTGCTGGTACACATGGAAATCTGGAAGCAGGCCTTGTCTGTGAGAACCAGGAATAAGGACATTATTTTTTTCAGCCATTTCTGTATTGTTCATCACTAGGTTGTTCCCATAGCCAAAAGGCCCACGTTTTCTGTGATTTTCTTTTTGCTACCGGCATATTTGTAGACTCCCTTCTTATTACCCTTAGTGTACTTCAGTAGCAATAGGTCCAGCTGGGCTTTGGTTTTGTCCCAAAGTACCTAAGCAACACTTTTATACTGCTTTTTTTTTCTTGGTCCTTCTTTCTCCCTCTACTATTTTCCCTCTTTGTGCTTTAGTTTACTGAGAAGCTCTTTGATCTTCTAAGCAGATTTTCCAGTACAATGGGGTCATTTGTTCCTGAGCTCTTAGCAAGTTTTCTTTAAAACTCATCTAGCTCTCCTGGGCATCCTTTCTCTTCTTGGCTCTTTCCCAGAGGATCTTTCCTAGCAATTGCCTGAATAAGCTGAAATCTGAGCTTGTAAAATATGGAGTCTGAATTCTGCTGTTTCCCCTCCCAGCCTTCTGGACTGTGAATTCAGTCATCTAATGGTCACAGCAGCAAGTCAAGAACATCACCCCTCAAGAATTTGTGTTAGGGACTTGTCATCAAGTCTGTGCAGAAACCTCCTGAGTTGCCTGCACAATGGTGTCGTACCTTCCCAGTAGGTGTTTGTCTGGTTGAAATTTCCAACGTGAGCAGAAGCCTAGGAGTGGGAGACTTCTGCTCTCTGTTTGTAGAAAGCCTTATTCACTACATCCTTTTGGTCAGGTGGGGTAACAGACTTCACCACCACATTACTGGTGTCATTTCCCCTCTGATCTTGACCAGAAACTCTCAGGAGGCACATCTATGGTTTCGTGTTGCATCTCTGTGGAATGAAGGAGATCTTTAAGATATAACACAAAAGTACCATGCTCCGCAAGGGAGTGCAAGCTGGGAATCAAGGGTGGCTACAAGGCTAGCTGGGCCAGTAATCTCTCTGACAAGGCCTTTGGTCCCACAGTACACAAAGAAGAAGGACAAAGCAGGTCCTATGACAATAACCAGGCTCAGCCAACAGCCCAGCGATCACCAGAAAAGTCCATAATGTCAAGAGAGGTCTAAGATCAATTCAGAAAACCAAGTCAGCTGGTTAGCAGGTCAGGATCAGCAAAATGCAAGGCTAGGCACAGGCGTACCTGTAACATAGCTAAGGCAAGAAGCAAGGGTGAAAGCCTGACATTAAATGCAGCTCCCAAGCCAAGGGACAGAGGCCACAGACAAGGCTTCTCACAGCTCTGTGCATCTCTGCCATGTTAACTGCATTCTAGTTTGTTGTAAATGCTTTAAATTAGTTTAAAATTAAGGGAGAAAATTCCATCAGGTTGCAATTAGGGAAAATTCAAAGTGACTGGACATGGTAGGCTGTAGAAATTGATTCAGAAGGAGTAGTCAGGGAGGAATGAGCAAATACTACGTCAAGTCATTCTCTTTCAAGATGCATGTCCTGAATTTAAGCATAAGGAAAACTTACTAAGCCCCTTTTCCTTGCACGTCGTATCTTCTGAGCCTTGCTAATAAAATAAAGCATGAATGAAGGAACTGTGTAGTTCTTAATACCGCAAAAGCCAAGACAGCATGAGAGCTCTTCAGAGTAAAAGTGTCCCCCAGCTCCCATAAGTTATGAATCACACTGCCTTTGAGTCAGCATAAACACGAAGAAACAAACTTCAGATCACTGGAGTTAAAATGTTTGTAAATTTAAAACCTTTAACATAAATTTCTACGTATTTGGCTTATGTACTGAATCTCAGGGAGGATTGCCAGCTAGCTAAGACTCACACCCATGCCAGACCAGATCTCTGCATCAGCGAGCAGGTCTGGGGCGCCAGCTCCCGAGATCTCGTGATTATCTCAGAATCCTGGCTTTCCTTTCAAAAACAGAAAGTAAGCTTTCATGCTTATGGCTACAAAGAAAAGCTTGAAAATGTAAATGTTATCACTACAGTCATGCATATCTGACAAATGTTTTCTCTGGGAATTACTCCAAACTTCGTAGAACGAAATACAAGGAACACAGCTCATGAGAGCAGCCGTGCCAACACCAGCAGAGTGCTCTGTGTGTGGCTGGAAGAGAGCAGCAAATTCAGATGATCAGTGAGGCAGGTAGAGGTCATTCGTAGCTACTAAGTTAAGGATGAAGGGGATTTTTGCCACTCTTGCTGCTCCCCTCAAGAGGACAGATGGCAGCTGCTGCTTGTACTTAGGGCTTCTGAGCCTGAACTGTTGCTCTTTAGTCAAGGCCCCTGTTTGAGTTGTGAGTGGATTCACATGAGCTGTAGCTAGTAGAGGCCTTTTGTTAGCAGCTTTAATCTGGGCTGTGTTACTGAAGTGCTGTGAAATGTGGTTTTAGTGTTCCCAACAGAATAGTCTCAAGGTTCTAACAAAGATAACAATACATATTTTTTCAACTCTTCTGGTCATCTTCAGAATCAGTTTCCCAGGAAAAGTCTGTCCTGCACACTTGAGTTAGCAAGGATTTGAGCAGGTAAATGCAACACAGCACTGAGTAGGTCCAGAAGGCATAGAGCTGTATTCCTCTGGTGCACACACGTGGCTTTATGGTTTCTGTCTCTTCAGTGCACTCGTGAACAAGCCGTATTTTCTGGTTAGTTTTTTTAGTAAGTAGATAAGATACCCCTGTGTTATGTGTACGTGCATATGCTGTCATAAACAGCTTTGCCAAAGGAAATGTATAAATATATGAAGTGGAGTTCGTAAATGATAAAATACTCCTCTCAGGTTTTCTTAGAATGTCACATTCCACTTTATTTGTCCTGAAAATAGAGAAGGGTTATTATTGCTAAGGGCTTTCATCCTATATAAAGGCTCAATTGCAGTAGCCCACTACACATACAAGGAAAGAACCGTTCCTGCCTCAGGAACCAGTTACCTCTGGCAATAGTAATTAACCTCTGAATGTCAGTTTTCAGGTTGTATAATGATGTGTTCAAAAGTGCCTGCATGTCTTTCAAAACGTGACTCACTTGATTTGTGACTTGTTGATCTGTTTTTAGCAGTGCTGAGGGGTTAAGACCATTCTTTCACTAGTATAAATTAGTTAACTAACTCCATTGATATAAAACTAAGTGATGGCCAGACACTGCATCTAAGTGAATGTCCAGGTTCTTTGACTTCATCAATAGTGGTAAACGTTGTGTGGTAAATATCCCCGTGCATGCTGCACAATTACTTTTGTTTTTAAGCTACTTTACACACAAGTGGTAGCTGTTTCTAGACTTTGCTCCTCTTCCCTTTCATGAGCATTTTAAAAGGAAGAACTATGTAGCAACCACCCAGAGCTGTTAAAACACTTGTGCTCCTGATGACCTGATTGTCCTGCTTTGATCTAATCAACAGCATTCAAAAGCAGCTTTGTGTATTTATTACAGATCATATCTAACTTGCTCTGAGTGAAATAACAAGGCAGTTTTGATGAGGCAATGTATAGGACTTAGCTGCAAAGTGTTAAGAAATATTTAAAATTCTAACTTTCTGCTGCGTGTAGTACATGTGTTCTCAAAGAATTCATTGAAATATACATATCGGGTATACCTAAGTGTAGCAGATATTTGGAAAAAAGGAGCATTTTATTTTCATAGTTTGAAACAATATGGTAAAAAGTCAGAATGATGCTGAGAAAAAAAAAGGCTAAAGAAAACAAATTGACTGGGTTTTACCTGGGTTATTTCTGAGGAATTATATTCCTCACTAACACAATTTTTTCCCGTTTAGGACCAGACTATTGTGCACTTCAGTATCATGGCTGTGAACAGGAATGTGTTAATACAGATGATTCCTATTTTTGTCGATGCCAAGAAGGGTTTAGACTTAGTCCAGATAAGAAAACATGCAAAAGTGAGTAATCCTTTGGATGTAATAAAGTTCATCTGCTTTTATTTCTTAAACCTGCTGTGAATGGTTTCTATTCTGAAAGAATGAAAGTTTTCTCTACAATTAAGATTGAAACAAATGTTTCTTTATAAACATAAGTTTTAACAGAGCCAGTCACGCTGGACAAATGTACTTTTTGCTGTTTTGTAGACTAGATTGTAATTAGATGTTTTCTGAAGACATTTATGGAAACTTGAGGGGTAATATAGAAACCAGAGTGGCTCAAAAACAATAAATTCATTACTTATTTGAAACTTTCTGACCTTCTTTCTGTGACACAAGAAGTTTTTTTAAAAAAAAAAGAAAATTCACCTTGCTTTGACCAGTTGGTTTAGCCAAGGACAGATGTACTTCATTAGCTTGGGAAAGTATTGGATAGATAACATAGCAATTAAAATCAACTTAAAGTCACACACGAAACCCCACAGTTTCCTAAAAAAATTGTAAAACCAGTCTTCGCAATGTCAGGGTTCTAAACCAATCACACATACTATTTACTTTAAAAGGAGTTTTGTTTTACAGCTCTACTTGAGTGGGGGCCTAGAATCACAGCAGATTTTCAGTATAATGTTGTTAAAGTTTAAGGAGAATATATTCAGCAAAATGAACTAGCCTAATCTGGTGACTCAGTTCTTAGGGGGAGGAATTGTACTGCTGATATTTTATGATTAAGAAGCTTGCCTGGAGCAACATAATTGTATTTCTAGATGCTCATAAAATTTATCTGGTTTTGGAACTGTATTGACTGTATTTTCTTTCAGTCTTAAAGATGCGTTCTTGTGAAGCATCTTTGTCTATACAGTGCCATTTCTACAGCAATCCATGCTATTCTGTTTTTTATTATCTGTATGGTATTTAAATACATTCATTTTTTTATAGATTGGATGTGCCGTGGTGAGCATAGGAGCAAAATAACAGCATCGTGTTGAATATTTATTGCCAAGATTCTAATTGTGAATTAAAGGCAAAATGTGATTCCCATTTGGGGTATTTTTCTGTAACCTTAGGGGGCTTTGGATTTGGCTGCATATCTGGTGACATTTCCAGGATTAAACTCCTATTCCAAATCTTGTTATAACAAGGCTCATGTTAGATAAGCTTCTAAAATAAAGCAGAACGTTTGCATATATGCCATCTTCACAAATCCAGGATGCATCACTGATGACTAGCACCAGGCATTCCTCCTTCAGCACTATGCGTGGCTTCTGATGGCTACAGGAGCAAGTCTGTGGGAGTCAGTGAAGTTGTGCAAAGCCGACTATTTGCAATGCACTCTCAGATCCTCAGCTCACTGTCAGCTTTGACAGGTGTCCACAGCACAGAATCCAGTATGTTGAAGAAAAGTAAGCCATTTACTTCAGAAACCCTCATGGCTGGCTTGAATTCTTTACTGCTTTTCTCTCCAGAGAAGTAAACTTCTGTGCTTTAGGTCAGCGTGACTGTGCACATGAATGTGTTAACATGGAAGAGTCATCTGTGTGCAAATGTCCTCCTGGATACACCCAGCAACATGATGGCAGTGCGTGCAGAAACGATCTGTACCTCATGAATTGCAGTGGCTAGTTACTGCAGTGGGGCGAGGTGCGAGCAGAGTGAGAAAACGCTCCTGGTTCCCTTCTGAGATGTTTCTGGGCTATGCAAACGTATGTTACTGTAAAGTCCACCACGAGCCAGGCCTGGTGAGATAATGCTATAGTGAGATCCCTGATGCAATAGAGAGCTAAAGCATCATCTCCAATCCAAATAACTGGGATAATGTGTTCAGCCAAGGTGTCTAACACAAAGACCCTGCTTACTGTTGAACATCATTGCTATGGGTGATCTAAACTGCAGCACATCTGATACGGATGTATGCTGGTATGTGGAGATATGTAGAGACTTCCCCCTTCTATATATTTACACTTTCAGTGTTCTGTTCAATAAAATGTCCTCTTTTAATAAGAATGTTACTAAATGAAGAATCAGTGTTGCACCAGCAAAACCCAACAACAATGCCCACTTCACACCACCCACTTTTTAGAAGATACATTTATTACAGAGAACCATTTTGCACATCATCTAAAATATTGGCAGCCTTTTTTCCTGGTGTACTTAGAACATATTTTTCCAAAGGAACACGAAGTCACTGAAATTAAAAAAAGTTGATAGGCCAGGGACTAATTATTTTTAAATAAACTGTTTATGATAAAGCCATATTTAAGGAAACTTGGTTGTGTTGCAAGAGCTCAGAACTTTTTAATAATTACGGTTTTAGGCTATTGCAGGTTGAATATCTAAAAATTAATATATCCCAAGGCACTCATTGTTTTTAAAAATACTGAGCCTTGCCTGTCGCTTTCCCTTCTTACATTTGTTTTTTACGCATGTAATGAAGCACACATGATAACCAAATTTACAGTTATGCTAATTTCTAAAGCCTGGTAATTAGCAGCTTTGTGATTACTCCACTCTTTCAAATAGTGTGCTAAAAGATTCTGCATGAGAACCCAAAGTATTTAAATGTTAAAATTCATGTTAGTGTGGGTGTTTGTATTGTAAGAGACAGTGCCAAACAGATGCAGTTTTTCACAGAGAATACTGGGGGGGTTTGTATTCTTTTTTTTTTCCACATTTTTTATGTGCTCTGAGAAGTTACACAAGCCTCTTTATGATGATGTAAACTCTTGGAAAAATGAGAATGTTCCAGCTGGAACTTGCTTTAGCTAGTGAAAACTGACACCTCAGCTTGACTTCTTCAAGCCAATGTTATCTCTGTCTATGTATAATGGTAAACCTGGACCAATTAATGCAAACTCGTTGCTTAGTTAAATAAACTAATAAACAGCAATATTTAGAGCTAAGTAATTTTGCATTAAATACAGGGTTTTTTTGACGTAAACAAATAGCTGCAGACATGCCTGTTCACATCTGTAAATGATTTGCAAATAGAGACATACGAGACTGTGTTTGTGTCTGAGGGAACTCCACTACTTTTGATCAAGTTAAGCTAAAGTGATTTGGGCCTCTATAACTAAAAATAGCCATTAACAAATTGGCAATAAAATATTATGAGGAAGTTCAGTATAAAGCTTTTTTCCTAAAATATGCTTTTTCTATACTTACAGAGTCAGCAGATTACATAGTACATTTGCAAGTGCACGTATCTCACTCTACTGCTTTGCTGTCCATTCTATAAGATACAATTTTTAAACCAAATTCATACCTCTCTCTCCCTTCCCCCACCCTCCATCTTTCACACAACCAGTTGCATACAAGACTAAAGAAAATATTCCGTTTCATCTTACTTGGAATAGGAATATCAAAGAAAATGAACATAGTAAGACACTCTCACACTCATAATTTGTATCTGTCCCCCACTAGGCTTTAACTGCTTGAACCTGTTGGAAGGTTGAAGTTTTAAATTAGTGATTTCTCATCCTGTTGAAAAAGAATTTACTGTTTATGAAATAATCTGAACGCCATCATTTTTATTTCAAGAGTTAACAATATTCATACTTCCTCTCTGAGAAAATTTTATGCTGAACAAAAGACAGAGTCTTGGTTTTTAGAGAAAGATAGCATGATTCTGCAGGTGAGACCAGACGAGGACTTCAAGCTTCTCCCTTCGCTCTACATTAGTTTCCCGTTGTGATTTTTGGCAAGGGAGATCTGCACTTCATGAAGTTTGTTATCTGCCAAGTGGGGTTGTTGTATTCATTTCACTCAGGTGTTGTTAATTAACTCAGGTTACTCAAACAGGTGGGGATACCTCATAAATAAAAAGCTGTACTGATTTTTTTCCCCTTGCTCTGCAAAGGCATTGTGTGCTAACTACAGTGTCGTAGTGTCTGTGTCTAAGGCTCCAATGTGATTTCTTCAATTATTAACACAAATCAATAGGAGTGGACCATTGTGCTGAAAGCAATCACGGCTGCGAGCAACTGTGCCTAAATACTGATGACTCCTATGTCTGTCAGTGCTCTGAAGGATTTGTCATCAATGAGGACCTAAAAACCTGCACACGTAAGTCTTGTGAGAACCTCCTTCATCTCCGCTCACCTGGGAAAGGTTTCTGTTTCCGTACAGGGAAGAGGACATACCTTCAATTTATTCTCACGGTCTGCATTTCAGTAATACTTTAATAACGATTTGAAAGCACAGACAGAAAAAGGGCTTAGGAAAGGATACTTGCCAAGATGAATGTAAATCCTCACGTATTCAGAAAAGCTTTGGAAGATCTGCTCATTCCCTAGTGTTGAGGACAGTTTTTTGGTCACATGACAAAACATCTGACTGACAGGTCATCTTGACAGCAGTGTCCCTCAGGCAAAGTGTATTGGCTTACCTGGGGCAGGAGAAGGGGAAGTCCCACATTGAGCTTTCCATTTTGCGTGGGAACCCTTAATAAGTGAACAAAAGTCATTCTGACAGCTCTCCGCCCTTTATAAATCAAATGATCTTTGAGAATCAGTTTCACAAATAGCCAGATTGCCTCCTTTACTGGAAAAATGATACATAGAAAGGGCCAGGAGAAGAGGTGTGTGAATGCGTTTTGCCTGTTCACTTTTCCTGGACCTATCCTCTTTGATGAGAGGGATTTGGCTTCTTTTTCTGCAGATTTTGGAGGTAAATTGCTTTTCAAGCTTGTTGAGTGTTGTAGCTGCTCCAGTTTGCTCGTTTTCTTGTCCTCAGGCAACACAGTTTCAACAGAAGTCAGACTGCAAGTGCTCAGACACAAAAATGATCTAGGGAAAAGTGAGGCAAATCAGCAAAGACATTTTGTCTTTGTCTTTACCCTCGTCTTTGCCTCCATACTAACCTTTCTAGCCCCATCCAATACCTTGACAGGCTTCGCTTCTGTCTGTCACTGCAGCTCTCTAGAAGGGGGCAGACAGTAATGCAAAAGCAGAACTAGTGTACATGTAACAGTGAGAGGGTCTGCTAGAAACAATATATCTAGACATTTATCTAAGACAACCACTGGAAATTTAGAAACAGCCAAACTATCAAGTTTTGTCAGCTTGCAAATGGAAAATCCCTTTTCCTTTTTAGTAAAAAGAGGTTGTTGTTTGAGTTATTTTCCTCCGGGCCATACTTGGAGACCTATCAGCAGCATTAAAACAGTGCTGTGCCTTCTGGAATCCCTCTGTGCAATGAAACGGAACCCTTCTGAATAGCTCCTCTTCTTGCCAGCATATCCTTCTCTTCATATGTATTTAGGAAAGAGATTTGTCCTGTTCCTGAGCTCCAGATGAGTTGTTGAAACCTCATGGCAATTTTTAGGCTATCGTGAAAAGAGTTTTGGCACTGTGGGATTTCTTGAATGAGCAGTTGAATGGAAGGGATTAGCATTTAACATACACCACTCCTAATGGGAAGACATTTGAGAATTACAGTACTGGTGTCATATACACAGGCACAAGTATGTTGACGGCTGTGGAAACACCAGAATGGTAAACAGATTTCTACTCTGACAACTAATTACAAAAAAATGAGTGACACCGTGGTATAGCCAGTGGACAATAGCAAGTGCTGCCTGCAGGATCCTGGGGGTCCTATGTCTTTTTGTATTACAAAGAAGAAACACTTAAGAAGCGTGAGATGAAAAATGGGCCATATTTGACAGTACTTGTCATTTGCAATTTTTTGCAAATGCTTGAATAGTCTAAGCCAAAGCCCACTGAGGTCCCTGAGAGGTTTTCTGCTTGGGGCCATGGCAGCTGGGTCAGGTGCACAAGTGAGTTCTGGGGACTGCCACCTTCACATCAGGCCATCTAGAGACCGTATTTAAAGAAGAAAGTTCACAAGGTAGCTTTGATGTCTTGGCCACTGTCTTATATAAAATCATTGCTCGAGTGTTTTGTATTTTCTAAATACAATGTGTAAGTACTGAGACATGGACTCTGAGCTATGTCAAACAAAGGAAAGTATGATTAAAGCAACCAATGGAAAGTACACCACAAGGCGCCCTTACATTTTATTGAAGTTATATTTATATTATCAGATAAGAAACTGGATTGTTGCTTAAGCAGTTCAATGTATTTATATTTACTTGCTTATATACCATGGAAATACTAGATGAAAAGTAATTGATTGATTATCTGTTAATTTTTTTTACTAATTTCAATTGCTTCCACAGGAGTTGACTATTGTGCTCTGAGTGATCATGGCTGTGAACATTTGTGTGTAAATGGTGACAGATCATACACTTGTCAGTGTTTCGAAGGATACAGGCTTCGTAATGATGGGAAAACATGTAAACGTAAGCTATTGTTCAGCAACTCAGAGTTAGATTTGTATTACATACGTAGAAGAGATCTGTAAGGTAGGATTTGATTGCCTAAACATTGCCATCCAGTGTCATTTTAAATGCTCGAAGATTCCAAAAGTTCACAGTTTCCCCTTTGAGGTCATATTTGCCAGCAGTATGTCAGTATCTTGGATACTCTAGAGTGTCTAAAGTGGCACTAGATGCATACTTTTGGGCACCTGAATGACACCCTGAAAGTCTGTGCCATTTAAAAAGTAGCCCTGATATTGGACTGTTGTGAATCCAAAACTATTTTACTCCAACTTACATCCTGATAGGATATGTTATATCCTTACAACTGTAATTTTCTTCTCAAATGAAGGCAAAAATATATAATGTTTCTAAAGTTTTATACAGCATGAATAAGCTTGCAATATTATTAATGGAAAGTTCATTTATTTGTCCAGCATGGGATAAGGATGATTGCAAAAAAGATCTCATAATTGCATTACATATTTGACTGCATTATGCAGTTATGATGAGTGGCAGATATAAAAAAAAATTAATTGAAATTTTTTCTCCAGTTTTATAGTTTTGATCAGTAAGTGATCAAAGAATAATCATGATAAATCTCTGAAAAACACACAGGCATGAAGCGTTTTATAACTGTAATCCCAATAATATCCACAGATCTCATCAACATCTGCTGTTAAAAAGCATTTACAGAAAAAAAATCTAAAGTGATCCAGATATGACCATGACACATGAAAAGCTCCAGCAGGTGCTATAAATGACTTGCAGGATTGAGTCCAGTATACTAGCAAGGACAAGAACATTCACTAACTGGGAATTGTAAGACTTTTAACATCTTGACCTTAACTAACACTATTTTTTTTCTATTAAATTACTCCCAGGTAAAAATATCTGCAAATCGGTCAACCATGGCTGTGAGCATATTTGTGTTAGTGCTGACAGTTCCTACATCTGCAAGTGTCGTGAGGGATTCGTATTGAGAGAAGATGGCAAGACGTGCAGAAGTGAGTGACTGGTATCTAGTGAACATTTTTGCATTTGCATCAGACAAGGAAGGAAAGGGGTCTGTCACTTCTTACTGGAAAAAAACATTCTTTTGAGATCTACATTTTTAAACCTGTTTTCATTCAAAACCCGTATTTATATCAATCATTCCCAGGACGGGACATCTGCAAATCAGTCAGCCATGGCTGTGAGCATATTTGTGTTAGTGCTGACAGTTCCTACATCTGCAAGTGTCGTGAGGGATTCGTATTGAGAGAAGATGGCAAGACGTGCAGAAGTGAGTGACTGGTATCTAGTGAACATTTTTGCATTTGCATCAGACAAGGAAGGAAAGGGGTCTGTCACTTCTTACTGGAAAAAAACATTCTTTTGAGATCTACATTTTTAAACCTGTTTTCATTCAAAACCCGTATTTATATCAATCATTCCCAGGACGGGACATCTGCAAATCAGTCAGCCATGGCTGTGAGCATATTTGTGTTAACAAAGATGACTCGTATGTTTGCAAGTGTCCTGAGGGTTTCCTGCTGCGAGAAGATGGGAAAACATGCAGAAGTAAGTATTCTGATAATTACTGGTAGACTTTTAGCTACAGTTTGTAGATTTGTGGAATTTTTCTAACAAATACCACTTTTGTAATTTACTGTTATAATACAATAGTATTGCTACACCTGCCAGAAGCTTGTAAGAGACTCTGTGGACAGCAGTAGTGTATTTTAATAGCCAAACTGATATGACTGGAGACAAAAAAGACCCACAGTTTTTCAGGTATCAAGAGCTGGCAGTGTTTGCTGCCTAAATTTTTGCCAGTTTCTTCCAATGATATCAGTAGACCTAATCAAAGCTGTTACTTCTCCCTGCATGATACATTTGCTGTAGATGAGCTTTAACCAAACACCATCAACTATTCTCAGATAAAGACATTTGCAGTTCAGTTGACCATGGCTGTGAACATGTTTGTGTTAATGCTGATGAGTCATACATCTGCCAGTGTTACGAGGGATTTGCACTAAGGGAAGATGGAAAAACATGTAGAAGTAAGTATCGTTATCTTTAATAGAAGATTTCCTGTATAATCTGTGCATTCATAGACATGTTTTAAATACCAGCAACCTTATTTTTTTCCAGATAAAGATGTTTGCAATTCTGTTGACCATGGCTGTGAGCATGTTTGCGTGAATACTGATAGTTCATATATTTGCCAGTGCTATGAGGGTTTTTTATTGAGGGAAGATGAGAAAACATGTAAAAGTAAGTTATTTTATGTTACTGTATTTTTTGCACTCAGAGGTCTACTGAAGGAACGTATTCAGTTAGAGGTAGGTCTTCTTTTAAGGGATTTTGTCTGACAAAAAGGAGGATAAATTGTTTATTTACTAGAAGCTTATTACTTTCAGTCTTTAAAGTTTTGGAAATGTTCTCATTCATCAAACTGTTGTAAATAAAATCTAAATTATTCCTAGATAAGGACATCTGCAAATCAGTCAGTCATGGCTGCGAACATCTTTGTGTTAATAATGACGATTCATACACTTGTGAATGCCGTGATGGATTTGTACTGAGGCAAGATGGGAAAACATGCCGAAGTAAGTAGCTTATGAATAAAATAAGAAATTTCATTTTCCTATTATTAGGAGATTATTCACTGATTTATAGTGGTCAGAATGGAATACTGTTCTCTATAGATCATAAGACTTCCATGAATTAATGATTGTTTGAACTAAAGATACATTTCAGAAAATCAGCCAATTGTAAGGTTTGAATGTAGCTTTTAAAATGTGAACTTTATTTCTAGACTGTGTTGAGTTGCTGCATTTTACTTTCATGGGTTGAAGTTCTAATTGCCACTGTTATTCTGTGTATATTCACGCAGATCATGACTTAACCTTTTCCTTAACTTAACCTCTTAGCATGTTCTTCTGTAAATGTTAAGCAGATGAAACTCCTTCAGGCTCTTTATATGTTGTCTAATCTCTTCATAAGTCTCTTCGTGCTCCCCTAAAACCTCTGCTATTTATCAGCGTCCCTGTGGGGGCACCACAGCGACACAGAGCCTTTTAACAGGAGACGCAGCAGGGTCCAGGGTAGAGGAACTATAACCCACCTAGTTCTTATTTGAATCTGCCTATCTTTTGTCTTTTTTTTTAATCTGTCTTTTTTTATGATCAAAGATAGCATTAATCTGTGACCAAAATACTCTGCTAGCGCTCATGTTCTTAGTTATCTACCATGATCGTAAGCTGTTTAAGACTCTCGGTCACACAGGTGTCCCACATCCTGTAAGTACCGCTTTCCTTCTTTGTTTCTAAATGTATAAACTTAGTTCTGACTGTTTTAAAATACATGTGATTTGCTGTTACCTGACTTGCAAAAAGGTTCATGACTCCTTATAACAGCAGCTGCTCTGTTTTTATTTGCCAGTGATTTGTCATGATTATTTTCTATTTTTGTTTGGGTTGTTCATAAAAATGTTAACTACTAGAGGAGCAGGGCAAATTCTTAGAAAGCAAGCCACTTGATGTTCCTCCATTTACAATTTATTCTGAAGACTTCTCTAGCCAGTGTTAATCCATATAATGTTGATTCTGTAGTGTGTTTTTGTAATCAAAATAAATACCAAGACTGCTGCCTTACTGAATGCTCCATTGTATGAACAGCATGAGCTTTATGAACCAGCCTCATAATCAGTTAAAAAAGATTTTCCGTGGTCTATTTTTCCATAATACCAAATTGATTGATATTAATTCTCCTTCTTTGATTTCACTCTGAATCTAGTTCCACATTATCTATTCCATTATTTTAATGCAGATCAATGTCAAGCTGACAGGCTTACAATGAATTACTCATCCTTTTCAAACACTGGAACAATAGTGTTTTTTCAGTGTGTGTGCATACACTGGGGATGGAAACTGCTCGGTGTTTTGGGGCTTCCTCAGAGTTCTAGGAGTTACTGAAAAAGAACACTAAGCATCCACGGTGTTGTTCAGCCAGCTCTTTTACAGCTCTTCACTGCAAGTAATCTGGAGTTACTGATTTAAAAATGCCTGTGTTCAATAGGTGCTATGTCACCTACTCCTCAGCTGATGGAACTCTTCACTCCAGCAGTATCATCGGTAGCCTATTTCATAAGTTCAGAGCTGAATATGCTAAACATTTTTACAATTTCGGCATTAAGATTGGCAATTTTACCATTTCTATCAATTAATAATACATAGTTAGAATGCTTTTTGTTCCAAATGGTTTTTAAATAAGTTACTCATACTATCCTTTATTTTGTTGGGCATGCATCCCCTTGTCCTTTATCTTATTATTTCGGCGTTTTCAAGTTCTTAATATTTTCATGTTCGTTATACTGCAAATGTTCATTTCTTTCAATCAGTATTCAGATCTTATAGCTGTTTTTTATTTCGATTTCTAAATGAGGTTGCTTTTTTTAACCCCTCTAACATTCTTTTTTAGATTATGGGACTGAATTTTTGGGGGGTATCTAGTAAAATAACCTTAAATAACACAATTATAATTCATTTCTTTTATTATTTTTTTTAAATTATTTCACTCACCCATCCCAAAATACTCTGGCTCATATTTGCTTTCAGCTAAATAAAATTTATCCTTTTGAAGTAATATCCATGTCTGCTGCTGGTTTGTATGTGTTTCTCTTTATAAACAACAAATGTGTCTCAGTTGCACACAGCTGTGTATGAGCAGATGCTAATTTTTACTTACATGGTAATTTCTTCATCTGCTATAATGGCATCTAGTTTAGATTGCGAAGTCTTGAACGTAATGCTTGGTGAATTAGAAGATTGTCCTCTGTAGTAGTTTTTGGACTTTTTGTATTGGCAGCATGAGACGTCCAGGTAATTTGGCTCAGATATTGAAGTTCTTTGGATGGCTGTCAGTACTATTGTACTTTCTACGTGAAGGCAGTTTTCCATTAGCAACTGAGAATATTTTATGTTGTGCTGCAGTGAAAAAGAAACAGGGAATGCTGATAGATGGCTCCACTTTCTTCTATACTTGCTCCCCATCTGTCCTTCTTGCAGAGGTTTTAACCAACTGGTTTTAACATTGCAGTCATGCAAATACATCAATTTTCAGCAAAACCAGTCAGATTTTATTTATCCTTTTAAATGAGTAGTTCCTATTCTTCTGGGGTTTGTTTATGCAGACACTTGGCATTGATGTAAGGATGTTAAATAATTATTTTGCTTCATGTCCTGTGGTACTTTGCTTAGTTTTGTTTTTACCAGCATGAATTTGTGCTAAATGACTCTACTAAATTATTCCCTCTTTTCACTCTTGCTGCTCTTAAAGTCCTCCTCCTTCATCTGGTCAGATTAATCCTAAAGTGATTTATTGTCAATGGGAGACCACCGAAACCATGCAGTGCTTTCTGCTCAGATGGTAAAGAACTCATGCTCAATGTAACTTAAGGTGTCTGTCATTTAACTAGCCAGAGATTTGCTTTCAGTTTGCAGGCTTCCATCTTTCGTTGCTCATGGGATTACCCCCCCAGTCTTTGTATTTATAAAAAAAGTTTAACTAGCAAACCACATTAAATATTATCTAACTATTCCCAGGCAAGGATATTTGCAAATCAGTCAACCACGGCTGTGAACATTATTGTGTTAACACTGGTGATTCATTTGTTTGTAAGTGTCAGGATGGATTCCTGCTAAGAGAAGATGGAAAAACATGCAAAAGTAAGCAGTCTGATATTTATCAGCATACTTTTTATCTACAGCTCATGCTTGTGTAGAAGTGCATTAACCAGCAAGAGCTGTCATCTGTTTTCAGATAAAGATCTTTGCAAATCAGTCAACCATGGCTGTGAACATGTTTGTGTTAATACGGATGATTCTTATATCTGCAAATGCCATGATGGGTTCCTACTGAGAGAAGATGGAAAAACCTGCAGAAGTAAGTAGCATGATAACTTACTTAATTTGATGAGTTACACGTATAATCGAGGCCTGCGCTGATGTACGTGGACTACTAACTCTTCTGTTGGCAGACAAGGATGTTTGCAATTCAGTCAGCCATGGCTGTGAACAAGTTTGTGTGAATACTGAGGATTCCTACATCTGCAAGTGTCGTGAAAAATTCATACTGAAGGAAGATGGAAAGACATGCAGATGTGAGTAGCCTGAGCTGAGTAGGTTTTTATTTGAGGCTTTTAAGTGTTGTAGCTGCGAGTGTTTGCACATGTGTATGTTTATTTGTGATTTCCAACTATTTGAGCTGATTAATAAAGGACATTATCTCCCCCTAACGAACCTCACCTCACCTCACGAACTCCATCCCTCTTCTCAGATAAAGATGTTTGCAACTCAGTTGACCATGGCTGTGAACATGTTTGTGTTAATACTGATGATTCCTATATCTGCAAGTGTCGTGAGGACTTCATACTGAGGGAAGACGGGAAAACTTGTAGAAGTGAGTTGTTTAATCTTTGTCTTGTACTTCCTGATCTGTTAATGAAACACATTATGCAACAGTAGTGTGTTATTTGTGTCTTCAGTATGGAAGCAACTTCATGGAAGTGAGCTCCTTCATGGAAGATTATTGCCATAATTTTTACAAGTTATTTACCTAGCTAACTGTGCTAAATATAATTTTCATTATTCCAAGGTAAAAATATCTGCAAAACAGTCAACCATAGTTGTGAACATGTCTGTGTTCCAACTGGCGATTCATACACGTGTCAGTGTCACAAGGGATTTGTACTGAGGCGGGACAGGAAAACATGCAGGAGTGAGTAGCTGAAACTTTTATGGGGAATATGCCTTTTCTGTCATAAAAGAAATAACAGACTTGATTTTACTCAAAGCTTGTTCATGTCAGTTTTGCATTTGAGAAATGTTCTAATAAGGAAATTCTCTTAACAATTCTCAGATAAAGACCTGTGTAAATCCATTGACCATGGCTGTGAACATGTGTGCATTAATAATAACAATTCATACAGCTGTCAGTGCCATGAGGGTTTTGTCCTGCGACAAGACGGGAAAACATGTCGAAGTAAGTAACTGAATATGTCTGTCAGCCACTCTTCTCTGGCATTGCTACATAAACAAAGATGTTATACTGCTTTGTCATACCGTGTTCAATATCATATTTGGAGTCTTTGAATTTATAAATATGTTATATAGAATACATATAAGTATTCCAGTTTTTCCTAGGTAAAGATGTCTGCAAATCAGTTGCCCATGGTTGTGAACATATTTGTGTTAATAATGACGATTCATACATCTGCAAATGCCAGGAGGGATATGTACTAAAAGAGGATCAGAAAACGTGCAGAAGTAAGTACATTTTAATTAGAAAGCATTTGTTTCTTTGATTTCTAAAATTACTTGACCTCACTTCAAAAAATGCTTCTCTTCAAAAAAACGCCTCACTTCAAAACAGAAAATATTTGAAAGCCCAGAGCCTATATGAGTGTGATGGAAAATGTCTTGAACATTTAACTTGATGCTCTCGTAAGCAAAAAAAATAACAAATTGGTGCAGTTGTTTTGGTATAGTATCAACTATGATTATAATTCTTTCCAAACATCAGGAAAAAAGCCAAAGTGAAATCTTATTATCAAGGAGCGTGAACTTTAATCAGATTCATATACTGTTAAGCTTTTGTCTTTATATACTCCATTTTAAAGTATCATTAATTCTATCTGCTTATCTTCTAACATGACATGCTTAGAGTATGATGTGCATTTATCTCATCACCCCTTAATATTTGGAGGAGAAACTCTTCTACTGCAACTCAGTAAAAACATTTGTTCTGCAAAAATAAATGCCTTAGTTGGGGAGACTATTATTACAAAAAGAATGGTAACATGTTCGTGGCTGATCTCTATCCTAACTAAAACCATTCACCATGAACTGCTGCCCTGTCTTGACTTACGCAATGATACTGTGGTAGTTCTGATATTCATATTCATTGCATTTCCATCGCCTTAGTACGTGTGACACAGCTTTTCCTCAGATGGCTGCAGAAAGGAATTCTTGGACAGCAGTAAAATAGAGCTATTGTCTAAGAAGAAAAGCCCAAGCTTTAAAGCTGAAAGTTCCTTATTCCTACACTGACTTGGTAACAGACATCTTCAGTAATTTCTGCAGTCTAAGCAGAAATAAATTTGGCAAGAACGTATGTGGAGTTCTCTTTTGTGGGACATCTACTCTGATAACTTTCACTCCGAGGTATCTAAAGATCCCAAATCCTCACTTAATGCCCTCCAGACAGTCACCTTCAGGATCTGTTAGTCTAGTCTGCGGTCAGCTTAAATAGTAAGAAGTGTTACAGACCTTTCCAGTTACCCTGTACAGTACACAGACTTCTCAAAATCTTACAAACCACAGGAAAAATAGCATTGCTGGTTTCTGTGATAGAAGGCAGAGACATACAGCACTTGTAGCAGCTTTGAGAAGTGATCTAGTTCACTGCATATGCTTGAGGCAGAATCAGACCGTGCATGTATATATCTCCAATAATATCTGATAGAAGTTTCAGTAATGTTTCAAAAACTCTTTAATAACAGAGTATGATTTCAGTGTCCCCAGTAGTCTGTTTTCATGCTATACTTTTATAATTTTTTTTTTTTTGCCTAACAAGCAACTATCTTTACAGCAGATGAAGCCATTTGCTACCTTTTCTAGTCACACAAAACGACTGCTTTATTGTCTTGTTTAAAATAATCCCCTTCTACATCGTGGAAGGGTGTTATCATGCTTCATATTCATCTTTCCTTAAGCAAACAAATTCTGCTCCTTCAAGCTTTCTTTATCTGGCATTTGTAAATATCTCATTGTTCTTGCTGTGAAACTCAGGACTCTCCAATTTGTTTTTAAGGGAGATACCCAAAGCTTTGCACTGTATTCATCTGAGACTTAGAAACTACTGAACATAGCTGCACAGCACAGTTCTCTCTTGTATTGTGCTTACAGCATTCTTACTCTACAGACGTCAGAGATGAGTGGAGGTCAAAGATCGTTTGGTCCAGACTAAGATACAAATCTTACATTCCTTAGTATAGCAAATTCTCCCTGAAAGTTACATTGATCAAATAGGAGCTGAGCATCTCTGCGACCAGCCCCTTGCACAAAGCTCACTAGTCTATGCCTGCTGGAGTAAATTGCTTTCCAGAGTAAAAAAACACCTGGCAGAGCCAGTCCGCAGCTTTGAAGACATTCTCCAGTCCCTAAATTCCCTAACCTTGTAATGGATACAGGGTGCCTACAAACTGCTTTGATTTTTGCATGTGCACTTGCCAAAATGTATGAACACTCCAAATTTATCAGTATCCTGGATTCTCTCCCAGCTTTAATGGGTAAACCAGAAAAGGTTAATTACAGAAACGCATAAGCCTTCTAATTACAAGATTTTTAGAGAGTTACAAGCAAAGAAAGGTACATAAGCAATTCTGATCCATGCTGGGAACATTTCTAGCATTTAGTCTCTCACCTATAGTTTTTTAGCTGTTTTTCTGCCACTAGAGGTTTAAGTTTGTGCTATAAAAACACATCAATTGTCTGAATTTTGTCCCAACTTGAACCTCATCCTAAGCTGTAGGGCAGGCTACCTAACCCTTGTCTTCTCATGCAGCCTTCCCCAAGCTCTTTGGCTTTTGTCTCACTGTTCCCTGCCACTCTAAATATAACTCCTAGATTTTCACCTTATATATAAGTGTGGCTTCACCAACTAATTTCTTTGTATCACCTTTACCTTTTTGCTACTTCTGCAACACAAATGCAGCTCAAATAATTATCTTCCATGTCTTTCAGCACTGGTCATCTGCACAAACATAAAGTTAGCAAACTGGCCTATCCCTGGAAGAAAACGATGGCAACTCTGTCTCTATATCCTAGCTATGTTCCTCAGTTATACAGTTCTCTCCACTTAATCACAGTCAGTCTTCAAATTTTCTGGTTGTTGCTGTATTTTTAAGAGTTGTAGTATTCTGCAAAGCAGTATGTCTCAGTAAGTATTCACTGTGATTGTATTTTTGTTAAACTTGTGGTCATAGGCACACTCTTAACTTTTGATATAGACTGTACGCACCGTCTTTAGACATGCTGGCGAAGTTGGATGAGCCAGGAACAAGGTGCTTTGGGTCATCTCTGAGTTTATGCAGTCCCTGGGTATCTAGGTCCCTTTTTCAGCTTTGTGGAGTTTTTCATGATCTGAACACTCTGCTGCTTATTTCACAGCATGCACTGAAGGCCCAGTTGACCTGGTGTTTGTGATTGATGGATCCAAAAGTCTCGGAGAGGATAATTTTGAAATTGTAAAACAATTTGTCTCGGGAGTCTTGGATTCACTTGAGATTTCACCCAAAGCTGCTCGAGTTGGTCTGCTTCAGTATTCCACTGAAGTCCGCACAGAGTTTACGTTAAGGCAGTTCAGCTCAGCCAAAGACATGAAGAAAGCTGTATCGCAAATGAAGTACATGGGGCGAGGTTCCATGACAGGACTGGCTCTGAAGCAAATGTTTGAGAGAAGTTTCACAGAAACGGAAGGAGCAAGACCACTTTCAGCAAATGTCCCTCGAATCTCCATCGTGTTTACGGATGGACGAGCCCAAGATGAAGTCTCCGAATGGGCTGCTAGAGCAAAGCGAAATGGTAAGTGGAATGTTTTTGACTCATTCTAAAAGGCAAATATTGCTAGAAATAAGATGTGGTAATAGTATGGATGTGCTACCGTGTGTGGTAATCAAGAGAGCATTTGCCGTAGCAGTCTGGCGACTGCAGTGACCACTGCAGCAGAACATCAGATCTTTGGTGTTCACAGGAGCCTTTGCTACAAGGCATGTATGTCATCCCCAGAGTGGGACCCACGATGAGTGTTTCACCACTGGGGTTCTGTGCCATCCGCAGGCGGTGGCACTGCCCACCTGGTATGCCAAGCAGTAACCTGAACCTATCCACTGAGGGCGCGCATTTGACAGAGATTTGGCAACACTGGAAACTTCATTAAAAATTCTAAGAAAACAATAAAACCCCAACCTGTCTCTTCAAAATACAGAAATCTATCCTCCTGAGAAATACTCTGGTAATAATGGGTTATGTTATATTTTTATGTATATTCTGTATTTTCAACCAATTTTATAGTGCTAACGATGTTCTGGAAGGAAAATGGGTCCTCCTTTTGAAAGGATATAGCTGTAGCTGTTTTCTGTTGTTCTATTTTCTGTGTGCCTTGTCAGGTGATAGTTCATGCTGAAATGTAACTGAAAACTTGTATTTTATAACATAAAATATGTCTGGGGCAGAAATCCTGTAGGACATCTGCACCAGAAACTTTTCAGCTGTTCAGCAGCATTAACTGAAAATTTTCAAAACTTTTCAAGAAATCAAAAGATACCTTTTTTCTTTGCAAAACGTTTTCTGAGAAACTACTTTAAGAACCGTGGCTGATAGCTCACAAGACAGAGAAAATAGCCAGGCTTTAATAGATGCTGCATCTTTCAGAATTAGATTTAGAAGATCTTTTTTCTTGTTTTACTGACTTGATAGAACAGTCATGACTTGATTCATGATTAGCATAGCCCTGGTCAGGACTGATGCCTCTCTGTAAGGAGAACAACTAAAACATCCAAGGATGTGAGAAGAGCATGCGCTAACGAGGGTGCTTGTACAATGAAATATAAACAAAGTGGGTTTTAAAATATTAAAAACAAAATGAAAGATTTATATAGGGACTAATATAATAGGGACTAATTAGGGACAAGATTATATATTAGGGACATGGTTTAATGGTGGAATTGACAGTTGACAGTGTTAGGTTAATGGCTGGACTTGATGATCGTCACTGTCTCCTCCAACCTAAATGATTCTATGATTCTATAAGTCTATGTGCAAACTTGGGAAAGTACATGGAGGATTTACAGGACTGAAGAAGGAAAGAAGTACAAGCCAACCTTGCTTACTCGCTGAATGAAACCTCCGTTCTGGACTGCTTACACTGATACTTGTAATGCTACAAGCCAAATCCATCCCCTGTGTAATTGCAGCATAGGCAATGTAGTAATGCTGAATACGAAATTGGCCTTGAATGCTTTATCACTGATATCTCCAAGTCTTTAAAAAGCAACAGACCTCAGCATGACTGGTCCATTCATTAAATTGGATCAGCTTCTGGTGAACGTTTTACTTTCCTTAGTAAAGTGCAATGGTAGGCAGGTCCATGACAAAAAGTAAGGAGATGCTTACGTTAAATGTTAGAGTTGGAAAAATGCATATTTTATGATGTTATCAGGCCCAGGATTCCTCAGCAAAAAAGGTTAAAGTTGCAATTCGGTGAGTGTGTAGCTGTTATTACCCTGTGATAATAAAGAGATAGCAAACCTCCTCACCCTAAGTTTTATCTGAAACCAACCAGCTGAGAAGGCAGCTTCCGCTCTTGAATCTTGTAAAAGAGCTATGAAGCTAATAGCTGTATTATGAACCACAAAATCAGTACTAGTTGTGGGCACTTTCTAAACCAGAACTGATGTAAAGAGAAATGTTGTATCAGATCATATGTTCACAAGAATAAAAAAAAATCCGCGATTAACTGCTGAAAAGGGGGATATCAAAGATCACTATGTTTTGTATTCATTACTTGTTTAAAACCTGTCCAGTGAGTGGGTTGTGAACCACTTCCTCTTCCATGCTTTCAGAGGACACTGTAAATCCTCATTTACTTTCTCCCTAGCACCTCTGCTGGGGAAATGCCTGTCCCGAGCATCCCTATTGTTAGGCTCTTTCCCTTCTAGCCCCACAAATCATTTCTTTTCCCCCGTTCTTACCCTTGTAGATCTGTGTGCCTTTGCAGTGCCTCCCAGCCCACTAGTGTCCTTCAGAGCACAAGAATCTAGTCTCAGTGTGCTCTGAGGATTTCAGTGAAACACTAAGTATTTATATTTTTCTAAAAAAATTACTGCCATCTTTTCAGGATTCTGCCCCATTTGCTAACATATAACAGGTCTTCCCATCAAACCAGTAATTAGCTTTATTGCACCCACCCTACGTACACGGACACACACAAAACAGGACCTTTGAGTACAACTGCGAGGCTGACTCGTGTGATTCTTTTGGATTTGCAAGAGTTTTGCAGTACTCTTTCTGGGTTCATTTACTGTCAGTACTGGCCAGGCAACTGCCATCTCTCTAACTCAAAAACTATCTGTTAAATTACAGCAAAGCTGGGAGTTTCTACACATCTCTCAATAACTAAAGCATATGAAGCCTGTTCAAAACCGACTTTGAAGTTACACAGCATATAAAGCTTTTGTGCTCTCCCTGTCTCTCTCTCTCTCAAATGACTAATGCTCATATTTTCCTTTCATGGAAGAACAAGGGTTTAGAACTGCTGATGTAATAATTATGTGTAATTTCTTTTGAACCTAGGTATAATTATCTATGCCATTGGAATAGGAAAAGCAATTGAGGAAGAACTGCTAGAAATTGCTTCTGAGCCATCATATAAACATCTCTTCTATGCTGAGGATTTCACAGCTATGGAGGACATAAGTGAAGAGCTAAGAGTCCAAATCTGTGAAGGTAACAGTATTCTACTTTCACTGAGACAGAATAGGAATGAATGCTTATAGATGTTTTTTGCAGGCCTAAAAGGACAACTGGTGCCATAGATCATTGGTGTCAGACACTGCAAGATATACGTCACGCACAATAATTTTTCTGCCCTTTAATATGTGAGGAATATATACCCTTAATCACCAGGTAAAGGAATATAATAATTGTCTTTCCTTTATTTTCATAAAAATTGCATAAAATGTACAATTCTGTGCCCAGAAGAATCAATTGCTCCCTCCCCTTTTTTTCTGTACAGTTAAGTCAGCCATGTACCGAACCCCACCCCATCAAAGAAGCATGATCTACTTCATTAGGAATGTGGGAAAATAATCAGGGATTTGTAATGTCTTAATAAGAATAAAAAATTACTCTTAAGACCAGTGGCAAAAACCTAAACCACAGCAAAACAAAACACCAAGAGCTATTGTGCTTATTTACAGAAGACTAAATATAGTTCAGTGAACACACATTCGCAGCTACAAAGAGTGGATCTCGGTTAGGCATAAGCTTCAAGTTCTGCTCCACAAATGTGGAAGGTTTGTTCCAGAGAGCATCCTTCCTCACTCTGGCACAAACAGCCTCTATATAAACATCCCCAGATGAAGTTTTGCAAGGGGAAGGGGGAACAGGAGCTGGAACAAAAGCTGTTGAGCCAGAGAGAGGACTCCCACTCACACATTCCCAGGACTCTATTATTTGTACATTCAAACTGGTACCTGAAGCAAAATTCAGAAACGTCACTGTGAATAACATTAGTCATAGCCCTAGAATTGTGCAAGATGATTTAATTTTTACCAGCTTTTATTTGGTTGTTTTTCTTGGGACTAAATGCAAACAGGTTTTATTCTCTTCTTTAATGTTACTGTGTAAAATTGGCTAGCAAGAGGGAGTGAATTTCCTCCTAACAGATGTTAAGGAAAAATCTGGGAATGCTTCCTAGATTGTATATTCTCTGTGCTTCTCTCAGTCCTAAGAAGTCCTAGTTCCATCTTTCTGAAATACAAAATACTGTAACATGAAACCAAGTCTGTTCAATTAACCTTCTTATTAGGCAGATAATCTGCTGATGACAGGATGTCATCTTAAAAGCTTGGAGAGACGCCAAAGCCAAAACAATAATTCTCTCTCATTAGCAATCCCCAGAGCTCGGTGATGGAAATGCATCCTTCGGGTACCCACAGCGGTGTTTAGCAACCGTGATTTTCTGTCTTTTAACTACATTACTAACCATATCAAAAATAAGTAAATCCTGCCCCTTTGTGGCAGTTGCTAGACTACACCTCTAGTCACTGGGCAGAGCTGGTGCCTCTCAGCTTCTGGCCTCCTCCTCTCTCAGCAACAGGCAATGCCTCACACCTGTGAACTGAGGACTGACCCAGCCTTGTTTTTCTGGACACTCCAGGACTACCTGTTGCTCATCAGCTCGCTCCACCAGAAGTCCTGCCCCCAGGCCTGTTACACAAGCTGAAAGTTCTTTTTAATTTTCTCTCCTCTGTTTTGGTTTACAGCCTAAATTTTTTCCCTCTTTTGCAAAAGCAGTAATTTTATTTTTACTCCAGCCTTGGTCCTTGGCTGAGGACTTCTGAGGCTCCAGCCTGCGAGGGTAGTGGGAGACCCTCTAAACCTCATGGACTGGGCTGACAAAGCCTCTCATACACAGCCCCAGCTGTGGATGGGCTGCATGCTTCCAAGTAAAGCAGAAGCCCTCCGAATCTCTTTTTGGGGTAAGGATTTTTCCTTTTATTCTGCAAGAAAGCATCAGCCTTATAGAATAGCTGCTGATTACTATTAATTATTCTTGATGACTAGTAGTAAAATAAGAAAAAAAAAAAGTGGTTTGCTCTTTTGCCTCTTACCAAGAGGAATTCAGTCGTAAGTTTCTTCTCATTCATTGTCTTGGTTAATGCTCATTTCTCATCTGACTGGAAGCACTAACAAGGCTACAGCAATATCATACATAATATGCACTTATGATTGCCTCTTCACCCCTGTTCTGAGCATGTGCATTACAGGAGCCTTTAATTACATTGTCACATACTATTTTTGTCACAAGACCCCAGCCCTGATCAGATGACAGTACTCAGCAGCCTGCTGGTTAACATTCTGTTCTTCCAAATTGTGGATCAATATCACTGCTGCAAATAGTCAGCCATTGCTTTTGAAGATGCACTTTTCCGAAGACACTTTCCCACAAGCTTTTTCTAACAAAATACTTAGATTTTGTTACAAAAGAGAACACTAAAAACAAACACCCAACTTTAGCATTGTGCTCCAACAAATTTGAGCATTTACGTTCACTGCACTGACTTCACCAAGGGACTCAGATGGGGTCAGCAGCCTCTATTGCTACTTCTCCAATTATTCACAGCATTACAGAGGTGCTGAGATCGGAAATCTTTGTGCCCAAACCAGTTTCTGAAGCCTGAAGATGAGTTTCAGAAATGCCCAATTCCCATCCCAAACTGAAGACCTTCTGCCACGCCTCTACTAGGGTTATCTATCAGTCTTCTCTCCTATGCTTACATCTGAATCCTAATTACTTGTTTATACCAGCCCAGTGCCTACAGCTCAGACTTTTCAGGTCAGTTCCTCCACCCTTCCTAGATAGCCTCCTCAGCCTACAGCTCTTAAATGACTTCTAGAGCACGTCATTACTTAGGGTTAAACAGTCAAGGTTCATCTGTTTCTTCCCTCCTACACTGGAAATCTCACCATCCTTGTTCCCAGTTGTTCATTCTTCGGCTAGACTCCTCACCCGTTTGTCTCATTGCTTACCTCGTGATCTCAGCCCACACCTCTCTGCCCTGAACTCTTCTTCATAATGTGTTCCTTCCACCAGCTGGTTCCCACGCAGACTTTTTGATATACAATAAATATTGTAGTTCTGCCCACTGAACTCTGGTCTTCCTACTCAGCCACTCACCTCTGTTCATTCTCTGTTCCTCATGCTCAGTCATTCCAGCCCCCACCCAGAGGGTCTCACCTCCTTCCCAGTGCAACTTAGCACAGCTGCGTATTATTGTGCATCTGTTAAAACTCAGTAGACCAAGAGATCCCAACAGCTGTAACAAACCTGTGGGGCTCAGAAGCATCTTGCACCTCCCTATTGCGCCTTTGTGGCCTATCAGGAGAGTCTGCACCATCACCTCTTACCCTCATGCATTCGCTTCCAGCAACGGAACTCCGGGTATACTCACAGGGAGGGAGGCCCAGATGCTCCATCCACGCCCCCAGCATAGTTGATCAAGTTGTGCAGCTGTTAAATGTATGTTCTTCAGCTCATCTGCGCCATTACGGGCTCCACAGTTAACTGAAGGCAAAACATTTATTTTCTAGAAAAGAACCTATTGTTAAGGAACCAAAGCTGCCTCTGCATTACCCTCTTGTGGCAAGAAAGAGGTAGTGCACAGAACGACTCGAGGTGATTATACCTACATATAAAATAGGTTTCCATTTCTCTCCAGACACCCTTTGGCTAAGAAGATGGAGTCTGAAATAAACTCCTAGATTTTAAAGGCTGTGCTTTATGAATTAGAAACTTGTATTTTTGCTTATAACTGTAGCGCATCAAAAACTCTACTGCGCCCTTCTCACTTAAAACACTCCCAACTCCCTGACCAATGTTTCCCATTATAAAGGAGAAAACTGAAGGAGAGTTAAGAAATTTCTTCCTTTTCCAAGCAGTTTTTATTCTTACTCAGTTCACCCCAAAGGACTGATGGATGACAGCGAAAAACACAGGAATTTTCACTAAAGGATACAAAGTATATTGCTATCATCTCAGATTGCTTCACTACTATTAGTCTATTAGTAAAGTGCTTCCGGTTGTGGAAGACAGTAAGTCCGAGTTGAAGGGTGAGTCCTGGAGTTTCCATCAGCACTGGACCTCTTTTGAACTGCACAGGTACGAGGCATTCTTCGCATGTTATGAGAGACAAACACTGAGTTACTGGTAACAAACATTGCCATTTCTAGAGAATGTGAACATTTTTATTTGCTCCTTTTGTGATCTCATTTCCTTTGGCAATTTCTTTCCACCAGCCTTGAGAGAGTCAGCTCACCAGCAGGATCCATCGCCCGGGAGGCTTCATAACACTGGTCCACTGCCTTCAGGTTGGCTGTTTTAACTCAAGTGTCCTGCTGTCTCCCCAGATCATTGCTAAGCTGCCTCTTCATGCCACCTTCCATAGAGAACCCTAACAATTCACCTATGGGAGAATTGTTTATCCCATCCCTCTTCCAACCTCCCTCCAAACCACCCTCCTTTCTGCAATTCAGATCTGCTTTGTACAAACAATTTGCGATTCACTGTAACACACACGGCTGCATGCTTCTTACACCATCCAAATGAATTACTTCATGGGGAAACTTGTATTTCAACACTGTGCTTGATATTTTAAAGCATGTTCAGCTTTCAATCACTTCTGTTTCTCACAGGAACCTTCAAAACTCCCTTTCAGTTCTGCAACCCACAACTTAAATCATGTATACAGTAAATACAGCCTAACAGCTCGGTTCCTTCACATCTTTGTATTCCTAGTCCTCTCCATGAATGATCCTCACTGCAATCAGTGAGATTACTCACTAATTAAGGAGAACTCTGTGCATGTGAGTAGAAAACAATACTGTGTAATTAAGTGAAGTGGGTTTGATTTTTAGACTTTTGGGGGGTTTCCTGCAGGACCTGAATCAACCACAATAGCCATCACAGATGTCATTGCCTGTCCCAATCTTGCAATACACCACAAGTATCTCTTTGAAGACAGTCACACTCACTCAGCAAGAACAACAGGTAACCTTTGTTTAGAATAATCCAGACTACTCTTTGAATATATAGGCCTATGCATTGTGCACTGTTTTCCAGTATTTACAAAATTCGCCCCAGAGCATTCCTTTGGATGTTGACCTGTTCTGCGAACAGGAAGCTGTATTAAACCTGCTCTGCATTTATAAGTCCTCATCATTTCCTCCCCCATCCCATTTGATTTATTCAGCATTTAGCCTGTGCTTCACTATTTGTTTTTCAGCAAAAGCTTCAAAAGATAAAGACCAGTGCAAATGTGAAAACCTTGTGACATTCCAGAACTATGCAACCAGTGAAGTAAGAAAACTCACCCAGCGACATATCCTTTCAGAATATTGTTTCTTACATGTAAGACAAGGAGGGCAGGTTAAAAGAAATGGTAATTATAATGCATCAAGTCCGTATCTCAAATCAACCTACTGTAATGAAAAGCTAGACTACTTAACAGATAATGTTAATCTCCAAGACGCAAGACTTTTAAGACTTGAAATCTGCCTCTCCTTCATAGGAGGGACCAAAATATTAATAAGGATCTTAATTTTTAATAATCCCTAACAGTATACACCTTCAGGGACAGCAAAGAAATCACTAGTCAAATTCAAGACTAACACTCTTTGCTTTGGGTTATTTCTTCAGATGGTATCAAAATAGCATTTAATGAATACAGGAGTCAGAATACAGGAGATGTTTCCTTTCTGAACTGTTTGGTGAAGCACCAGATGCTGCGAGTCATTTATAATAATAGTCCAAATGAAGAGGAATTTAGAGGACTGAGGTCTGATCCATTTTGCACAAACAAATACGCAGATAAAAACTGGTTAAGTGCAGATCAGTAGCTTCCCCCCGCTCCCCCCTACGTTAGTCTGTCTTTTCAAGGGAGCTGTTAGTACAGTAGCCTTTACACCATCTGTAACATCCACCAGATGCCTCAGGGGACAACAGCAGCAAATTGGCAATACAACTTTCTGCAATATTTTGCATCATGCAGTATTTATGCAGCAAATTCCTGTTTTCTTCATGAAAGCTGCTTCTACCTCATCAAATAAACAGTAAGAAGCCATCACATCTTCTATATAAGTTTTGTGACTGTGTGCAAATCAACAGGCACTTCTTTTCTGCACAGAAGAGCGCAGTGATACCAACAGCCCCTAACTGTGTACTTGCTAGACAAGAAAGGCTTCTGTGGAGGTAACTGTGTGTCCACAGTCAGGCTGCCAGAGCCCTCGGCGGTCGTGGCAGCAGGCAAGACCATGGAGGGCTCTGTTAACCCGATGCAAAATATTGCCTACCAGTTCAGACTTCACCTCCAGCTATTCTGTGTAACTGCAACAGCCAGCCTCACTCTCTCCACCTTCCCAAGTGAATCTGTCAGCAGGCAGCTCAAGGAATCGTGTTCTGATCACTTGATTAAGTTTTTCCATGCAAAGTAGAATTACTTCATAAAGGGGGAGAAAGCTATCGCATAAGATTATTGCTAGGTGCTTCAAATGCTCATCAACATTTATACTTGTCTGAAGAGACTTCTCCAAAGTCTCCACATGACTTCTGAGAAAAATCTCTAGGTCATTTCCCACACCCATGAAAGTGTTATCCAGACACACACAGTTCCAACCTAGATGCTGACAAGAAAGCAGACCACTCCCGCCCCCTTCAGCAGAAGCCTTAGCCTCTCTACTGTAATCTCCTGCAGCTGTGCTGTGAGGAACGCCGAGCTTACCTAGAATCAAAGAAAACAGAGCTTAGCAACACGTGTTTTTTTGCTTTACAAAGTGAGCAGGCAACCCTGCAATTTTTAGAGTCCGAGAAGGACTCAAGGTGATGGAAAAGTTGCTGACACTGAGCCAGAGACCTACACATTTTGATAGGAACAGTGCCACGCACTTCCACAAAGCACTCACTGTGCAACCACTGCTTTGAACAGAGCAAGAACTATCCAGCTTCCTCTCCATTACAAATATTTCTCTGCCTTATCTGAAGAGCAGCTCAGGTACCAAGTGATATAGTAGTTGATAACCGCCGAAGACTGCTGGCCAGTTCCCATCCCAGGATCTAGAGGCAGAAGGAGAACTGGCTACAAAACTAGCTCCAGTTACAGAATATAAATTTAGAGGGACCAATCCAAACTGTTGATGATTTGTAGCCAACTACACTTAACTTTTTCTATCAGTAGATGAATGCAGTTTCTACTGCTTGAGCTTTGCCTCTGTAAATGCTTGAGAAACATTCATGATGCATGGAAAGCAGCTCAGATGTATGGCAGAGTTGAGGAATTATCAAACATAAACCCGATGTACAGGCAGGCAAGTCCCCCCAGAAGCGGGAGTCCCACTCTTTCTCCCTACTAGCAAGAGGATGAAACACTGTTTACACAGCATAACTAGGATAAATATTTAGCTTCCCCCTAAAATACAAGGGAATGGCCAGTTTTCAGAACCACCAGCCTTCTTAGTAAGCTGCAGCCTGAACTCCATGTTGAGGTATGCCTGTTAATGAATGGGGCTTCACATAGGTTTCTAAACTCAGCTGATGACAGAAGAATAAGAAATTACAGGGGTATTTTATATCAGAAACTACTGGGAGTCAAAGACAGTAACAAAGAGGAGAAACAAGAGCAAGTTTATGGACCGCAGCAATCAGACAGCAGACACATTTTCTAATAACGCATGCAATCAGTAGCTCTCTTTCCTTAACTTTTGTCTACTAGAAGAAATGACGAAGAGAATGGAAGACTTGGAAAACAGGCTAAAATACTGATCAAAGTTTAAAGTGTATACTACACTGTATATTTATACATACAAACTTGTCAGAGCTATTTTCTTAAACTGGTTCAAAGTAAAATAACAGATCCTGGTGTCTGAAGTTGAAAAGATTATTTTGGATCCCTGCATCTATATACTGTGTGTTCTGTCTTGCATTGATTGCAAATTAAGAAATATTGAAAGTTTTATATACAGAAACAATTTAGTAACTAGCAAAAATTCTAATTAAGCAGAACTAAACAACTGAAATAAGCTATGCAAAATAATAAAATGCTGTTATTTTCTGAAATGAAACCTCCATGTTTTGAAGTACTTTTAGGGTACGAAATTATTTGGCTTGTTTTTCTGTATTTCCCTCTTCCACTCACTCTTCGCAATATTTTAAGCACCCTATGTGTGTAGATATATATACTTCTATATATACATACATATATAAAAACAGAACAAGTGGGACAGCATTTACAGCAATTAGGTTTCATGTATTCTTTAACCAAGAGTACACTACTGAATCAGTTGGAAGAAAGAATGAAAGTTTACACATCTGTGTTGAAACTGTGATGAAAGTAAATGAGCAAAGTGGGAAGTCTGCTGGATTATCAGGGTATCACTAACTGAAGTTTCAAGTACTTTTTCTCTTACCACATCCAGACCACGTAACTTCTCCCTACTGTTCCTCAGCCAGCATTCAGTGATTCTCTAACTTTCCTAAATGGAACTATTTTAATTATGAAACCATTCTTTGGGCAATACAACTAGTTGCACGCCTGTTTGTCAAACACTAAGATACAAATGAAGACAGCAGATTGCTTCCAGCCATTCTGGCTAACTGAAGTGCCTTGAAGTTTTACTCCTTCCCCCTGGCAGCAACAGCACTCTTCTGCTAGCTTTAGTTTCACACTAACAGGAGTACCTAAACTATCTCGAACTGATCCAAATCTGTGGTTTAACAGGCAGGCACCAGCACTTCCTCCTTTGCACTGACACATGTTGGTTTGCCTCTTTACTATCTCCAAATGGAAATACACAACCTCATCCATTCTACACCAGAAGCAGAAGCAGTGGCAGCAGAACTAGATGAAGTGATCTCAGATAAGCCAGTAAGCGTGAATGGAGACGTAACGGCAAGCTTGAAAAGGTACCCTGCGCTTTGGCATACTTTGGCAAACAGAATGCAAGTTCTGCAAGGATACCAGTGCATCCTGATTTTCATTAGGTCTTTCTTTTACCGCACGTCAGCAAAGCACCAGCACCTCAGTTAATAATCACTAGTAATAAGAAACACCCTGCAGTCATGTTCTCGCACAAAACAGGCACAAATCCGTAAGATACCAATGTCTTCAGCAATAGTAACTTGAGAACACCAACTCATCTGTCTCTTAACGTAACATCTTCAAAAAACTTTAAATACTTATTTAAAATCAGCTTTCAGAAGTTAACTGGTATCTTACTGAAAGTATGATGCTACACATCAAGTCTAGCAGCTATCCTATTTGACACATATATTCTCCTGGAATAAAAAAAGACAAAGGGGATAACCTGCATTAGTACTTTGTAATTGACTTGGTAAAAATAGTGTGAATTTTAGTGTAAGTAAACCCTTTGGAGTCTGTTACTGTATCTCGCATTATGACTTGTTTTTGCACTAGCACTCCAAAAACCAAAAACTAAGGAAGCCCTAGCCTCTTGGGATTTGGCACCATACTTGCCACGATCAAGTCTTACTCCACTTACCTTTCAAGATCCACAACTTCTAGAGAAAGAAACAGGCAAGTCTGGTCCTGTGAAGGTTATTTCTAACAGAACAGGAAACACAGCAGTGGTAATGAATCTTCATTTATATAGTTTGTTCCCTAAAACCAGCACAGGTATAATACAAATTTTTCTTAAAATGGATCTGTAACCAGTTTTATTGTAGAAATAACACCTTTACAGCATTTACTTCTCACTGGTTTGTTCTGGCATGCTTCTAATGATGTCAGAGTCACCTGTAAAATGAAAACATATTGTTACAAGACGACCCACAGCAAGATCTGTTTTCAGGAATAAGCCAAAAAGTTAAAAAAAACCACAACACACTGATTCTACAAATACAAAACAACTTAAAAGCTATACAGTCTGTTCAGAAAAAAGCCAGTAATTTTCATGGCTTGATAAAAAAAAAGTGCTTTCAACTGTATTTTGCTAATCCATACGCAGTATTGTTATGATAATTATGTACATGTCACTAGCATTTACAAAGCCAGTACTAGAGCAACAATCTAGTCCTGGAGGACACAATGCATAGTTTTAATATAGCGAATGTCTAGCCTCCCCTGATCACGAAAATATCAGGACAGCGAGAATATTCGCATTACATTACATAACAGTAAGATTTACTTGCAGTTCCCTAGCTTACAGTTAGCCACCCTGCCCAAAATCAAGTAACATTTCGAAACTTAAATTTACAGCTTGTATTTGAATACAAGCAAGCTAAATAAAGTTTTCTTAAGAAACAGCAAATTCAAGTCAATGTCACTTGGAGAACATTCAGCAAAAGTGATTGCAAAAATCATTAAATCCACGTGTATGCATTTTGGTCAACAAACAGAATGAAAGACTGATTCTTCTCTTAGAAGATTTCTGAAAGAGGATGAGAAGTCACCCAATTAGCAGTCTGTATGAGGAACCTGAGCAACTCTCTGGGACAGAGTGCTACCAAGCCATAGTAATCACACACAGATTTACAGTTTTAAAATGTTTAATATAGTTTTCAACCCTGGAATAGTATCCACCTGCACAGAAGTTATTTTTCTAAATATCATTCTGGGAAGCAGGACAACTCACAACCCTTTGTTGAAGAACAGTCAAACAAGGTTGATGCACACAGCATCTTGCACCAGCTCACACTCTAGCTGATGGGCTCACAAACAAGTACCACGAAGTTGCTTCCCAGCCACTGACACCTCACTACAGACCGACAGGTAGACAAAACGCTCGCTCACAGGGTTTAGCAGTAATAGGAGCTACGCGCAAACATAAGCGGTGGTAATTCCAGGTTCTAAGAACCCAGGACTCACAAAAGAACAGCATCTTGGGTCAGGGAAAATTATGAGTTAAACCTGACAGAAAAGTACAGCACAGTATGTCATTAGCCCGTTACTCGCTCAGTGCTGCTACTCACAGGTGAACGGAGGAACCACTGACACATACCCACTGGGTCACTACCCTAGGAGAGAGACGTACCTGGGTCGATGATAGCCAGTGTGCACACTCTGTAGTATTTTCCACACGCTGTGCCCAATTCAATGTTGTTGCCGCTGTAATGATGGACGCCAGTCTTGGCAAGCATAGCGTAGTACTCAATCTCTGATTTTCTGAAATTCAAGAAGTAGGTGTTACTGTACTGACAAACAATTCTGACTAATACAGCGAGAGCAGCTTCAACTCCAGTCACTTAGACCTTACAGTTTTCCTCCCACCCAGAAAAAACACATCTGTTCCTTGCCAGACAACATGACTACCGTATTCACTACTGTCTTGTGGCTCAGGAACCCTTTTCCAGAAGTACGCTGAGGGTACATAATGGCAAACCCACTTCTGGAGCGCAAATCTTTGAGGTTGCTCCTACACACGCTCACGTCTATGGGAAAGAATGGGATTCAGGACTTCCAGAAGGTTGTAGGAGATAAGCCAAATTACATAAATGACAACCCATACAAATGCTGGTACCCAGCGGCCAGATGCTGAACAGAGATCTGGCTGCTGCTAGCTGTGAAAGAAATTAGTTTTCTTACAAAAAGAGTCAATCCATATTCCACTCTCTTCTGACTTCCACTGGGAGATTCTACTGGTCAACACTGTTCCTCAAGCACTTCTGGGATCCCCACTAACATGCTGCCCGCTTAACAGTTCTGCCATTTCTCAAGTATCTAATTCTGGGTTTCGGCATTTACAGTCTCCGAATCTGTCAATATCCCATGAAGACAAAAAAGGACCAGAAATTCAACAAGGAAAATGTCAGGAAGTCAGTAAAGATTTCATTCTCAAAAAAAAAGCAACTTCATTGGCCAGGAACCCAGATTTATAACTTAGCTGGACAGCAAATTCTCTGTGCTTCAAGTATTTTAAATCAGTGTCAATTACTAGTTTTCCTACCTGTACAATTATTTTCCAATATACTGCTTCAAAAAAACAGAGGAATTCAGCCCCACTATACTATTCATTAATGCTACCAGTGTGAAAAGCTTACAGTATCTTCATTAGTGCAAACTCTTTGAATTGAAAAGCTAGAATTAGAATGTGTTGGGAAGCATTTCTACGCATCCAGACCTGAAATCGTTATACACCAAACAAAGCATCGCTTTTATTTCACAGCGCTCTGAAGTATGACAAAGTATTTGCACTAATAATTCACTGTAGCAATAAACATGAAGTACAGGCTCTATTTGTACAAAGAACCTCTCTTAGTTTTAAAAAGAATTGTTTCTTCATACATCTGCTTACCTCAAAGCAGGACAGTTGTTGGCTAGGATGACCAGCTTGGCTTTGCCCTGCCGAATCATTTTCAGAGTCTGTTTGTATCCTAGCACATATTTACCACTTTTCATAACCAGCTGAAGCCTAGAGTTTATGGACTCTAGGGACTTTTTCTGAAAAAGATGCCGAAAAGCATTATCACATGTTACTTTAAATTTTTCAAAATGGCACAGAACGTAATGAAACTGCTGCCCAGGGAAGTGGTGGAGTCCCCGTTCCTGGAAGTGTTCAAAAAATGTGTAGATGTGGCACTCCAGGACATGGTTTAGCAGGCATGGTGGTGCTGGGCTGACGGCTGCATTTAGATCTTAAGAGGTATTTTCCAACCTTAATGATTCTATAAAATTAAGAAATTCCAAATACAATTTCCCTATAACTTACAATGTGGAATAAAAAAGCCAGCCTACCACATGAATACGAGATAACTTGTGGATAAGGAGGCTGCCGATATTATGTTCACCCAACTTCTTAAAAATACGTCTTACCCACGTATCTTACAGTAGGAAAATACATCTTAACACATTTTTGCTGCTGTCTACGCTGATCAGTAACGTCCGGGTGTATCTGA